AACAAAGTGTAAATAAGGACTAAAAGGTATAATAGATAATGTAAAATAGGAAGAAAAGGGGCAAAGGGGAAGGGGAAGTGGGAGGGGTAGGGGAATGGAAAGCAGGGAATGGAATTCATATGAGAAAATGGAAACAAAGCCTTTGTAAATAGGGAGGGATGGAAGGGTTGAAGGGAGGGCAGGGGAAGGGGGAAAAATAAGAACCAAGAGAGATTTTGTAAAGGTGCAAATTTCCAATGATGAATGTCATTACATTGTATACCTAAAATGTACCAATAAAATAATTTTAAATAAATACAGGGAGAACATACTTTTCAATAGCTAAGTTTGCTAAAATCAGAATATAATTTTAAAAATAGAAAATGCTGCTAAATTGGAGTTTGATTCAGATATCAGTAGTTCTTATTATTCATGCCAATCATTGGCTAAATTTAAGATTAGGAGAACCAAGGAGTTTGGGTTTTTTCCCCCAACATCTGAATTTCCATAGCCATTTTGAGCTTCTCCATGCACATGATCTTCCATGATATTTATTCTTTTGAATTTTTTTCCCCTCTGTCCCGGTACTGAGACTTGAGCCCAGGACCTTCATACTGAGCTTCATCTCCAGCCTCCCTTTTGCTTTTTTTTTTTTTTTTCTTTTTGGTACCAGGGATTGAACTCAGGTCCTTGTGCTTGCATAGCAGGTGGTGAAATCACTGAGCTAAATCCCCAGCCCCCCTTTTGTATTTTTGGTACAGGATCTCACTAATTTGCCCGGACTGGCCTGGAACTTGGGGTCCTCCTGCTTTGGCCTCCCATAGTGCTCTGATTACAGGCATATACCACCATGCCCTGCTAAAATCTTTTTTGTATTTCAAAGAATGGCTCCATAATAACAGCTTCTGCTAGGTGAATAATTTTATCCCTAGAAATCTAACTTAAAATCACTGATTGCAGGCTAATAGTCTATGTATGAATACTCTATGTATCTGTCCTTTTTCCAGTTCGTCTGTTTTTGTGTGTGATGCTGGGTATCAAACCCAGGGCCTTGCACATGCTAGGTGAGCATTCCGCTGTTGAACTACATCCTCAGCCCCCAGTTCATCTGTTGTATTTAAAGCTTTCTTTTTAAACTTTAACTTTTCCTGCATAACTTGCATGCGCAAGTTTCTGAGTTTGATCCCTGGTACCAAAAAATAAAGTTAAACTTTAACTTTTTGTTTGCCTATGGAAATTATGTGGAAAAGTCTAGATAATTCTGATGACCTAAAAACTCATTTAATATAGAAAGCAAAATATGTTGTATTACTGTTATATATTTGCATAAAGAAAATAAAGTTGAATTTTGTATGAATTTTAAATTTATGAACCCTTCTTTTAATCCTACAATGGTACTGCTATGACCTGAATAGGAACGAGTTCAAAAGACCTTTCCTCATCCAATTGATAAATGGGCTATTGCGGATGCACAATCTGCCATAGAGAAACGAAAGCGAAGAAATCCTCTTTTATTGCCTGTGGACAAAATCCATCCTTCTTTGAAGGTAATAAAAAATTCTTTGTAACAAATAATACCTTATATAGCATTGATGTATTTATAGTATTGTAACGTGGTCTCTTGGAGTGGTATTTGCATGTATATTTGTAGTATATACTCATAAATGTCTATGTTAACGTGTACAGAATGAAAATAAGGGTTGGGCATATCGGTCATGCTTAGCATGTGAGAGGTCTGGGTTCAAACCTCATTCCACTCTTCCAATAAAGAACAAAATAAAAATCAATCTACTCTGATGAAATCAGACTACCTTTCAGATAATATTAAAAGTTAATAATAGTGGCATCTTCCAAAGACTAATGCGCCTCACTAGTTCTTTTGTAGTAGGCAATGATTTTCAACCTTTTTTTTTTTCTTTTTTTTGGTACCAGGGATCAAACTCGGGACCTTGCGCTTGCGAGGCAGGCGGTGGCACCACTGAGCTAAATCCCCGGCCTCAGAACTGTTTTTAAATTAATCTATAACACAGATATTCTTAATACATATTGGAAAAGTAGGCTAGAGAATATTATTTAGTGTATAGAATATGCTTGATGTACATGGATTCGAAGACCCTGTTGTAGCAGTTTCAGGAATATCCCCCCTAGACACACACACACCCTCCCTTCTAGTAGAAACTACTGTAATTAGGACATACTGGTTTTATTTATTTTATTTTCATTTCATTTCATTATCTGGGAATTGAATTCAAGGGTGCTCTGCCAGTGAACTACAATTTTTACTTCAAAAAAATTTTAAAAGAGTCTTGCTAAATTGCCCAAGCTGACCTTGAATTTAGAATCCTCCTGCATCAACCTCCCAAGTACCTGGGGTTACAGGCCTGTGCTAGCATACCTAGCTAGTATACTAGTCTTAAAGCAAGATCCTTAAAGAAAGGAGCTACTTGTCAAATTGTTTTAGATCCCTCATTAAGAGGCTTTTGTGAAGCCCGGCCTAAGATTTCCGTGTTAGAAGAGGCAGATTTGTTAGATTAGGTTTCTCTTTCAAAACAATCATAACACTGGAATGAGAGCCTCATTTTGTATCTTGTGGTACCAATAGGGTGAGACATTTGGTTCATAGAAAGTTATTCATGAGTATGGATGTAAAATTGGAGTATGTAAGTGTTTGATACTTGACAGTGCTGTGTTTTGGAATTCAGGTGTTTATTTTTTCCACAGGAAGTTTTGGGGTATAAAGTGGACTACCATGTGTCCCTGTATATTGTGGCTGTACTGGAGTACATCTCAGCAGATATTTTAAAATTGGCTGGTAATTATGTTTTTAATATCCGACATTATGAAATATCTCAGCAGGACATCAAAGTGTCGATGTGTGCAGATAAGGTAAGTGTTGAAAAGTATCAAACTTAACTTGAACAATAGTGATTGCGTGTCATCTCTGCCCCATTCTTTTTTGTTTTTGTTTTTTGAGGGGTTTTTTTGTTTGTTTGTTTGTTTTGAGGCAGGGGGTTTCTGTTCAATTCAGGGTGACCTTGAACTCACTGTGTAGCCCAGGCTGGTCTTGAACTTGCAGTGATCCTTCTGCCTCAGCCTCCTGAGTGCTGGGATTACATGTGTACACCACCACACCGGCTCGTTCTTTTTTGTATATGTATATTAGTAAATTTTATGATTCCTGGTAGTAGAAGAAGAATGATATTTTCAGGTTTTTAAACGTGTGACCAGATAGGGGTTGTTTTCCTCTATCAAGACTCTTTTACCTACAGAAAAAAATATCCAAAGCCTCAAACCAGTTTAAGAAAAGTAGCCTGAATTTTCATATTTTTAGAATGAGAGTTCTGCTTTGATACTTCTAAGTAAAAGTAATTTTGAAGAACACACTTTGGCGTCACAGAATGGTTCAATGAAGCAGAAGCAGAGAGGAAAGAACTTGGTAGTTCAGAATTACTCCCTGCTGATGATTTTTTCTTTATGGATCTGTCTGCCTTTCTGGCTATTAGGTACTTGACGGAGGAAGTCGAATCCATTTTCTTCTCTTCTCCTTTTCTTCCCTTTGCATTTTTCTCCCTTACTTTTCCTTAAAATCAGTATCTTTGAACCACTTGTTATATGCCTGCCACTGTCCTGAGCAGAGAAGATACAACATCAAATAAGAGAGTCATCCCTGTGTTAGATTTTATTTTAGTGTGAAATTAAAATTCTGTAAGCAGGGCCAGAGATTTAGCTCAGTGGTTTCACCACCTGCTGCGCAGGCACAAGGACCCAAGTTCGATCCCTGGTACCAAAAAAAAAAATACTGGAAGCAAATAATTGCAGCACAGTATGTTTTGAACCATTATGCTGGTAAGTCCAAGGTGCAGAGAGAAAGCAATCAACTCTGGCTTGGAGGGTCAGGAAGACCTCAGAGGGGACGCCTGACAAGTGTCCAGGGCCCACACACACTGGTTTTTCTCAGCCTTGACTGCACACTTGGTGTTGAAGCTTTTAAAGAAACATGATGCCTGCATCTGATTCTCAGAACCAGGCGACTCTGAACTGTGACTGTCCGTTGGTTGGCATGGCACAGTCATGCATTTTCCTCTGGTGGCTCAAGGTGGCAGGAAAGTGTTCAAAGGCTGAGCTGGGGTTTCCAATGCAGATTGTTGTTCTCCAAAAGTGTGGTCTTTTCCTATGAGGAATGTCTGTGTGCATGTATGCATGTGTGAGTGTATATGTTACACACGTGTAGACATACAAGTGCATGTAGATATATGTATTTACATGCATACATACATAATGTGTGTATGTGTGTGTCTCATTAGGTTTCTCTTTTCCAGTAATATTTATTTTGCTATATCAAATTGTAACGTTTCTCACCTTCACCTTTTCATTTTTCTTTCTGAATTTTCTAATACTGATTTGCCTGTAATACATGGAATTCTCATTGTTTAATGTTTTAATTTCAAATACTTTGAAACAATTTTATAAAAGTAAGGAAAATAATATTATACATCCTTCATTTACATTTCACAGGTTTTGATGGACATGTTTGATCAGGATGATATAGGTTTGATTTCTTTGTGCGAAGATGAACCTAGTTCTTCAGGTGAATTAAACTACTATGACCTCATCAGAACTGAAATTGCAGAAGAAAGACAGTATCTTCGGGAACTGAACATGATCATAAAAGTGTTTCGAGAAGCCTTTCTTTCTGACAGAAAGTTATTTAAACCTTCTGTAAGTACCTTTGAAATTCTGTGTACCTCCCAAAACAAATAGCAGCTTAAAGTCATAAATAGTAATACTATTTATTTTATTAGTATACTCTTTTTTTTTTCTTTTGATACCAGGGATCGAACTCAGGACCTTGTGCTTGCCAGGCAGGCGTGGTGCCACTGAGTTAAGTCCCTGGCCATATACTCTTATGTATTTGTGGGTTTTTAAAATATCTAAATTGTTATACTAATTTAATAAATGCAGTGATAATGAAAATTTGACACGAAATTAGAAGAGGAGTTTCACACGCAAATGAAATCTTTTGCTCCTCCATGGTATCTGAGACTTAGCCAGATTTAATGAGGTTTAGTCATTCATTTGGAAGTGATGAAAAAAGATGTATAGTCTAAAAAAAAAAGACTATGCTTTTTCCTATCTTTTTGAGATAGTTGAAATAATAATAGTGAGATATAGTTTAAATAGTAGAATTTTTAAAAATAAGACTTTATGCAGAGCACCAGACAGTGAAAAGTAGAGTTCCTCTGAAGACAGTGTGGGAGTAGGATGAGCAGGGTGAAGACTCAGAGCCTGTTCACCTTCCTTTCCTTTCCTTTTCTTCCTTTCTTCAGTAGAGGTCCCCCCCCTCGCCCCCATATTGAACTCAGAGCCTTTACCCTGAGCTATATCCCCAGCCCTGGGGGTTTTGTTTTGTTTTTTTAAAATTTTGAGACAAGGTTTTGCTAAGTCACTAAATTGCCCATACTGAACTAATTTGTGATCCTCTTGCCTCACCCTCCCAGAGGGAGCTGGCATTACAGGCGTGTGCCACCACACCTGGCTTCTCTGTAGCTTCTAAGTCAACTCTTAAGTGACAAATACTTTCTTAAAATGTTTTTTCTTTTTCTTCTTGTGTCATGTGATTTAAGTATCTGTGTGTTTGATCAGCTTGTTTATCTTATACCTCCTAACTTCTTCCCCAAAATAACTATTACATGAAGAAATAGGTGTGATACTCTACAGCTAAGTGCTTCATGCTTTTCCAAAAGAATGAGTTAAAATGATAATTTAAAGTGTTTCAATTGTCTTACCTTTTTCTTTTGTATGTGTGTTTAGTCAGCAGTGTTTAGCTTCCACCTGATATACTGCCCTAAGTATCCAGGGTAGTACTGTACTATTTTATTTGACCTGCATAACAATGTCACAAGATATGTAGATCAGGTATTATGGTTTCTGCCTATGAAAATTGACACAAATGATTATGACTTAATTAACTTAGAGAACTCGAACTTGAACCCCTTGCCTCAAGGCATACTCTTGCCTCAGCTTCCTGAGTAGCTGAGATTACAAGTGTATGCTACCACACTCAGTTTGAACACTACATTATGACAGAGTTAGCCTATGGTGATATGAAGAATAAAAGCTTAATAAATGCTGTCTGCTAATGTCACCTTCTTTGCTTTTCTGTGTCCCATCAGTTTTCTTTCCTGAAGAATTTATATGGGTTTTTTTTTTTTACTGGACTAGTGCAGGTTTGGTAGAAAATTTTAGTTGTAATACTAAAGGTCAAGAGAAAGTGAGAATCTCATCCATATAAGCATAAATTGTAAACTTTTGAGCTAAAGACTGTCTAAATCAGAGCATAGTACTTAGCAAATTGGACAAAGAGATGAATGACTTAGAATTGATCTTAATTTACTCAGGAACCTTCGGCCCTATCTTCAAAAAGTTCACATTTGTGGAGAACCTAATATGTACAAAGAGTATTGTGTAGAAATCATCTCATTTAATCCTCAACTGGGCCGGGGATTTAGCTCAGTGGTTCCACCACCTGCCTTGCAAGTACAAGGTCCCGAGTTCGATCTCTGGTACCAAAAAAAAAAGAATCATTTAATCCTCAACCCTATGAGATATGTAACTATGAGAAGATTAACTCCTCAATACCTCTGCCTTCTTTATCTGTGAAATTAAGACTGTTAGGAGACTGTACACTCAGGGCCCAGAGAGTGACTGGAACATAACAAGTACCCAGGGACAGTAGCTGAGGTTACCATCCTTAACTCTGGTCACTCACCTAGCATGCTGTAAAAGGAAAAAACAAACTTTTTCCTCTCTAATCTCATACAACCAGAATACTTTTATGAGTAGATGTGAGATTTTTTCCTCCACACACTAGTAATAATTTTTCAATGGATACCACATGTGTGTCCTATAATTCAGCTCAGCTCTGACATTGTAGATAGTGTCCAATCCCACAGGTAACGGACTTGGTCCCAGTGTGACTGCCCTGAACTTCAGCTGCTGACTGCAGATCTCAGGTTGTGACTTCTGACTAACAGGCTGTAACAAACTGAAGTTCCTGTGATATATCCTTGGTTCAGTTGGTTTGCTGGGACAGCTCACAGAACTCAGGGAAATACTAATGTTTACCAGTGTATTATAAAGGGCGTCATGAAGGGTACACATGAACAGCAGATGACTGGATAAGGCAAGGTATAAGGAGCATACAACTTCCATGACTCCTCCAGAAAGTCTCCCTTTCCTACACCTTGTGTGTTCAGTTACTGGGTCACTTAACAAGACTCTTTGTTCAAGAGTTTTTATAGAGCTTTATTTCTATTCTCACCTCTCTTTGTCCGCTAGAGGTCACTGAGTGGAGTTGAAAGTTCCACCCTTTAATCCTGTAATCATTTATTCTTTCTGGTGACTGGCCCCATCCTGGTACTATCTAGGGCATTCCATTTTACCTTATTAGCCTGAACTCAGGAGTTATCAAAGGAGTTAATTATGAATAACAGAAGACATTCTTGTTAATCAGAAAATTCCCAGTGTTGTAGGAGCTCCACTGTAGGGTCACTCCACTCCACTCCACTCCACTACAGGGTCAAGGGTCAAACATATTTCATATACTACACATGATAGAGCCAGGATTTAGGCTCAAGTCTGTCATGTTCCAGAGCTTGTATTTCCATTACAAGATGCTAGGGTGAGTAATTGTTGACTATATCCTGGATAGTCAGTCATTATGATCTGTTTATGTCCAGAGGGCTCAAACCTGTTTTAACCTAGATGTAATTCACACATGGAAATTTGAACAAAATCTTTAATTCCTTCTTATATCCAAAAGCCGTTAATTATAGAACCAGATTTTAACTGAATTAGGAGTTACCTTTGTTCCAGTCCCAGCTCTTGTTATTGACTATCTTCTATATGACCCTAGCCAAGTCTTTTATCATTTTAGCCAGTTTTTAAAGTACACAAAAGTCTAAATTCTTTATGTAAAGCATTGGTTAGAGCTGGGCATGGTGGCACACGCCTGTAATCCCAGCATTTGGGATCAGAGGCAGGACAATTGGGAGTTTAGATCAGCCTGGGCTACATATTGAGAGCCTGTCACAAAAACAGAAACCAAAAAATTGCTTAAAATCATTCACAATGTGAAGTTTTACAATTTTGGAACAAAATTGTCTAAGATTTGTATGTTTAGCGTCTATATTTTCCAGTATTCTTACTGTCTGTAATACAAAATATTTTTCTCTCCAAAATATTTTACTCACAATTGACTTTCACTATGTATTGGAATATATTAGTATGAGATTGGGTGAATATATACCCTTAAAACCTATGTTCTATTTATATTTAGTAATTTTTGAACATAATTATCTTTATATTGCCTTTACATTTCCTTTCTTTTTCTTTTTTCAGGATATTGAAAAGATTTTTAGTAACATTTCAGATATACATGAATTGACTGTGAAACTTTTAGGTTTGATTGAAGACACAGTTGAAATGACTGATGAAAGCAGTCCTCATCCCTTAGCGGGCAGCTGTTTTGAGGATTTGGCAGAAGTAAGTTTACAAAACTGCTTTAAGTTCTCATGAAAGTTTTCAGTGTTATATTAAGAAATTCAAGGCTGGGGATTTAGCTCAGTGGTGCCGCTGCCTGCTTTGGAAGTGCAAGGCCCTGAGTTTGATCTCCAGTACCAAAAAAAAGAAATTCAGTAAGATAGTCTGTAAAAATTAGAAGGTACTGCTTGCTGCTGGCTACTATAAAACACTTAAGATTCAACCAGTAGCAAACTAAAATTACATTGTCCATATTTTTAGTTTATGCTATATTGTATATACATAATATATATAATGTTTATGGTAATATGGTGAAAATTTATATATTAGAGTTGTAACTTAGTGTTTTCTTGATCAGTGCATTTTAAGATGAAGGAAAATAAATTTTATTAATTTTATTGGCTAGTTTTTTAGTTACATGTATTTTAGACTTAATTTTCAGAAATACAAAGGTTTTATAATTTTCTCTCAAGTGAAAGAAATTCTCTTTTAAATGATTATAAAAGTAATGTGGCCTTTTTTTTTTTTTTTTGTGGTACCGGGGATCGAACTCGGGACCTTGCACTTGCAAGGCAGGCGCGGTGCCACTGAGCTAAATCCACAGCCCAGTAATGTGGCTTTTAAAAAAAATACTTTAAAAAAACCTAGAAACAAGTACTGTATAAATAAAATGAAAAATTACTATTTTGAAATTCCCAGAGATAACCTCATAACATTTACTTGTCCTTATAAATAATATACCTTTCCTGTATCAGGACCATTGTCCATGTTAATAAATATACTTTAACACAATTTTTAAATATAAATAATGCCCTGTTGTATGGAGACACCATAACCATCATAAGCTTGTAGGACTTTTCCTTTTTATTATAAACAACACTGCAACAAACATATTTGTACTACGCCTTCATAGTCTAATAATTTGGGGGGATGTATTCCTTCAAGTAAAATTGTAGTACCAAAGACCAGCTATGTTTTTAGAACTCTGAAACATTTTGCCAAGCCAATTTCAGTGTATTCAAGTCCTCTTCCTCTTTAGTCCCATACCTTCACTACCTCTGGGTATTATCCCATTCATTTTTGCCAGTTTAATGTGAAAAAAGTCTCATTTTTAAAAAATTTTGCTTTTTTTTGGTACCGGAGATCAAACTCAGGACCTTGCACTTGCAAGGCAGGCTGCGGAACCACTGAGCTAAATCCCCGGCCCTAAATTTTGCTTTTTAAAAAAATTATGTAGAGCACCTTTTCATACTCACTGGCCATTTTTCTTTCTTTTGGAAAACAGTGTTAGAAGAGTACTGTCTTTAGATTTCATGTAAAAATTACCAAATTTTATGATCTCTGTATATTTTCTGAAAACATAATTTATTATTTCCATTTTGTAGGACAAAGAAACTAATAAGATGGAATTACTCAGTTACTGATGCCTAACTGAAATATTGAGTCTTCATTCTTAGTAGAGTGTTTTTGTATTATCATAATAATTGATAGTCTCTTATTAATTTGCTCTATTCCTAAAGATATCATGGTTCTAAAAATATTGTATTTTTGTTTTGGTTATATATATATATAAAGCATAATATTTTTCATTTTAACCATTTTTAATGTGCAGTTTGGTTATTAACTAAATTCATAATATTATACAACCATCACCAGTGTCTAGCTCTAAAACTAAATCATTTCAAACACAAACTACCCAATGAGTGGTAACTCTGTATTATTCCCTTCCTCAGTTCTTAGTAACTTCTAGTCTACTTTCTATCTCTATGAATTTGCCTACATTACATATTTCATATTAGTGGAGTTATGTAGCATTTATCCTTCTATGTCTTTATTTCATTAAGATAATATTTTAAAGTTCATCTGTCATTGTGTGTATCAGAATGTCATTCTTGCCTGTGGCAGACTAATATTCCATTTCATGTATATATAGGTAGAACAATTCGAATATAAAATACTCTTAACTTGAGACACTTTGAGTGATTTTAGACACTTTGAGCCAGCATTCAATTAAGTTTTGCATTTCAGGGGATTTTGTAGTTTGGATTTTCAGGTTAGGAATAGTCAATTCATGAAGCCTATGTAAATGTCCCAGCATCTGAAAAACTCCAAAATCTGAAACACTTCTGGGTCCCAGGCATTTCCAATAAGGGATGCTTAACCTATTCCTCATTTTGTGTATCCATTCATCTGCTGATGGACACTTGAATCATCTCCACCTTTAGCTATTGTGAATAATGTTGCAGTGTTTTTAGTTGTTTAGTTATATACCTAGGAGCAGAATTACTGGGTCATATAGTAATTCTGTATTTTGTTTTTTAAAGAATTGCTAAAGTGTTTCCTATGGAGGTTGCTTCAGTTTACTTTTCCCTAGTAATGAATAAAGATTCTAATTTCTCCATATCTTTGCCAGTAGTTATTTTCTGGGGAGGGAAATAAACAATGTTTTGTGGCTTAAGATACAAAAATGAAACACATCTCTTGGATCTAATTAAACATTGAGATTATTGGTTAGTGGAAAATAGGAATTTATTTAAATATAAACAGTGGACAAACTGTGGAAAATTTCTCCTTTCTTATTTTATTGTATGTTGCCTTTGCTCTTTTTTTTTTCCAGCTTTGGAAAAGATAGGCTAGATAAAACAGAGCAAATAATTTTGCTTCTTTTTAAAGTATCTTAAATGTAAACTAATTTCAACCTAAGTAACCGCCTGAGTTTCCAGCCTTTTACTACACATACTTTCCATTTACTGGGGATAAAATGTGTATTTGAATGGTTTGATGCTTGTGACCACAAAGACAGTCCCATTGTAAGACATACATTTTTTAAAAGATCTATTAGTTGCAGCCATAGTTAATGTTTGACCCTGAAAAGTAGAGAGCAAAAAGTGAGGAAACCTAGTTGAAGACTTGAACAAAACTTTGCCATTAAGTAATCTGTACCCTTTTAGTAGAAAAGATATTCTTTCAGACTTGACACATTTTTATTTTCTAAAAAATAGGAGCAAGCATTTGATCCTTATGAAACATTATCACAGGACATTCTATCACCAGCATATAATGAACATTTCAGTAAGCTGATGGCCAGACCTACAGTTGCTCTGCACTTTCAGGTAAACTTAAATCGAATGTTCCTATTTTTATAAAACAATATAAGAAATATTTAACTATCTTATTCTTCAAGTATTTGTAATTCTAGAATCCTTTTATAAAGCAGTTGAAAAGATACTCCATCGGTCCTTCAAACCTTGTTCAATCTAAACTTATTTTAGATTGGCTTCTGGTTTCTGTCAAGTTACTTTAGTCTGTTTTAAATGTAGAAATCTTTTTAAAATTTTCTTTGTGGTACTAGGTATTAAACCTAGGATCTTCACGCTGAGCTACATTCCTAGTCCTTTTTAATTTTTTAAAATTTTGAGACAAGTCTCATTGAGTTGCTAAATTGTTCAGGCTGAACTTGAGCTTGTGATCCTCATGCCTGAGACTCTCAGAGTGCTGAGATTACAGGTGTGAGGCACTATGTCCAGCCTATTGAAATCTTACAATAGTACACCACCACAAATACTGAATGACCATAGAAGCATCTGGCATATTCTAGATCAGAGATACACAGTTGAATCTGGAGAGCTATCATATTCTCTACAGGAGGAATATTTGGAGAAATCATAAAGAAAAGAGCCTCATAATACACATACTGATTTCTCTATCAGTAGATAGTGTATTGAGAGGGATTTATTGGTTTAGGAATGCAGTTAGATAAAGTGAAAATCAATGGAAGAGACAATTAAAATTATATTTTTATGTGATTTCATAAACTGTCAACACAACAAAAGTTACATTGGTATCGGTGGTGTTTGACTGTTAGAGCATCTAGCTTGACTCTTCCAGCAGATGAATAAGATCAAATCTGTATTGTCTGAAACTACGCAAATAAATAAGCTTATTTCATTCTAGTTACTCCAAATTTTCCTATTTTCACTTTGCAGTGAGTTATCTTAATATTTTTTCCCATTCTTCATCAAAACACTATCATCTGTGTTCTACTCAGGATATAACACTAAAAACTGCCTTTGACAATTGACTTGTCAAGTCCAGGGGATATTTTAATTTCATATTTATGTCCGTAATATTTGTTAATCCCCCTCTTGTCCCTTGGTTCCCATAATACTCTTGTTCTTTGGTTTGTTGGTTTTTGTCCATTCTTTGCAGTACTAGGAATTAAACCCAGAGGCTTCGCACTGAAGTACATCCTCATCCTCAGCTCTTTTTTAGTTTTTAATTTTGAGGCAGGATCTCACTGAGTTGCCAAGTTGCTGAACTTGGGTTGAGCTGGGCTCAGATTTACAGTCCTACTGCCTCAGCCTCCCAGAGTGTAGGGATTATAGGTGTGCACCACCACACCACCAATGCCTGGCTTCTGTGATACTCTTTCTCCTTGTTTTTGTCAGTCTTCTTAATTGTAGCTGTTATCAAACTTCTGTTACCAGCCCCTACTCTTCTGTCCTTTGGTGCTCTCCTTTGGTGACTTCATCCATATCAGTTACGCTGGTCACTTCCTGTGTTTCTAAGCCATAACTCTCTTCTGCAAGAGACTGTGGATCTCTGTAGGTACACTTTTATGTAACTGGCTGCCTTGAACTGATTTGCGTTAATATCCTGTAGGTACTGTTATGTCCTGTAGATATATTTAAAACTGAACTTGCCATCTTTTCCTTCCCTGTTTTACTGTGAATTCCTTTTATTTTCATTTACAACTCTATTTTCAAAAATCTGTCAATATAAAATAAAAATTATACCTGATTCTCAAAATTTCTTCAAAGGAGGAATTAAAAAAAATAAATCCTGAGCCACTTGTGGTACAATGGGAGGCTAAGGCAGAAGTATTCAAGACCAGCTTAGACAACTTAGCAACTTGATGACAACCTATCTCAAAAAAGATGTACTCAGTGAAAAAGCCTACAATTCAGTCCCCACTCCCTCCCCAATTAAATTAAATCTTACATATTCATATAAACCATAAAGTAAACATTAGTTAAACATATATCCGCTTATGGGAACCTTGCAGAATAATTCAGTTAGCTTGTTTCATTGTTATTTTAGAGATTCTTGCTATGGTATTTAAGACCTGATATTTTAAGTTACTGCCCTAGATTTTTAATGAAATTTAAAATGTTATATAAAAGCCTTTTTCAGGCCAAACTCATTTGTACTGTATTAAAAAAATTAATTCAATTTAAGGTGAAGCAGTGCTTCATTTAAAAAAAAAAATCTATAGGGCTGGAGTTGTAGCTCAGTGGTAGAACCCTAGCTTAGTGCCTGTGAGACCCTGGATTCAGTCCCCAGTACTGCTTGCCTAAGTAAGTAATAAGTAAGAAAATAAATTTTTAAAAAATCTTTAAAAGCTGTGCAGTATAACTTAAGGAAATGAACTTAAATCCTGGCTTCGGGGCAGGCGATAATTGTGCCACATATCTTTTGCTCTCAGCTTCCTCATTGGAACAGTGGAGATGAAAATAATGTGTACCTCTTATAATTATTATGAAAATTAAATGATGATACATATAAAGGACATTTGGCACAAATTAAGCCCTCGATAAATGTCAGCTCATGTTATCAGATGACTCTGTACACTGTAAATACACATTGAAAAGTTTTGGATTGTTCTTTAGTAACCATTTCAGTGAAAATGAACAAAATAAATGGTTTTTATAGACTAATTTCATATTGATTGCAGTTAAAAGACTAAAAATAAAATATACAGAGTAACTCAAATCACTATAGTAATTAGTTTAATGCTGTCTTAGTCCACTCATGCTGCTGTAACAAATACCTTAGACTTGGTGCCTTATAAACAAGAGAAATTTATCTTTCACAGTTTTGGAGGCTGTAAATCCAAGATAAGGTGTTGGCAGATTCAGTATCTGATAAAGGGCTGCTCTTCTGATTCATAGATGGCCCTTTCTCACTGTGTCCTAACATCGTAAAGGGGCAAAGAAGCTCCCTTGGGCCCCTCCTTTCAGGTTACTAATCCTGGCTTGAGTGCTCTGCCCAGCTGTGCTAAAAGTCCTCACATCTTAAATCTGTTTTCTTAGAGTTGGCTTCAGTACATGAATGTTGAAGGAAAACAAACTTTCAGACCTTAGCAAAAAGAAAATCACATGCATACACACACACACACACACACACACACACACACACACACACACTTTGGTGGTACAGGGGATCAAGCCCAAGCCCTCTTGAATACTAAGCACACACTACCACTGAGAACCTATTTTGCATTTCTTGGTAACAAGTCTGGCTACCAGATAACAAGTTCATTGAACAAATTATACTTTACTTAATAAAATATGAGAATTATGAGAGTTTATGAGGATATTTTTTAAAAAGAACCATATCAGATTCTCACTTTAAATAGTGGTCTTGTCAGTATTTGTCTTATGGAGAGAAATACCAGTAAAACAACTTTAAAGACATTTGAAATTAGCATGAGTAACTTTTAAGTCCCTTATAACTTTTATAAAATCATTTATTCTACAGAGAATTGTTTTTCAAATCTGGAGTGTATCATACTGTACGCTAAGATTTTCAAGGGGCACAGATAGCTTTAAGGGAACCAGTTCCTAGTCTGCCTGAGACCTTGTTTGTATATTTTACATTTTCCTTTTCCAACTTCTTTTGCACATTTCTTCTTGCCATGTTGAATTTCCTAATTATGCATTGATCCAAGATGTAAAAATCTCCAGGGCACCAACTAGGGAAAAAAAAAAAAGTATTGTTCGTGTGAGTTCATTGAGCATAAAGTCAGAGTTTCCAAAAGAAGGGTGTGGGGTAATTGTTAAAAATTCTTGGTAGCAAAATGTTATTTCTGTGTTTGTCATATTTATCTAAGAATTAAGAGAGATTTATCAGTTACAAGTATTAGCTTTTTTAAAAGGTGCTTCATCATTCATTTGGGATAGAGGGGAGGTTTATATCTCATACCTGAATATACTGTGTTTGAAGCAGTTTAAAAGTCCTTTCAGGTGCTTCAACTCCTTGAGATAATGATATGTGTTTATTTGAATTTAAGGATGAAGTTAGGCTTTCTGAGGAATTAAATTTGATCTGGCTGTTTTGTCAGTGAAGATTGGCTTTGTCAATTAAATTATATCCCAAATGTTTTTAATAAATTAGGTTAGCTAAATCTGAAATTTATTCAGTCATTATTTGTTTAGGTATATTTAAGTCACTTTTACAATACATCATTTTTAAAATACATCATTTGAAACTATTTAAAACATTGTTTTTGTTTTGGTACCGGGGATTGAACTCAGGACCTTTCTCGTGGGAGGCTGGCAGTGGCACCACTAAGCTAAATCCCTGGCAAAACATTGTTGATGATAATATAAAAATGTGCAAGGAAGTACATAGCTTTCAAAATTCTTTTAGGGTATATGGAAGCCCATATGTTTGAAGAAAAGCTATGGTGAGCCTGGGATTTAGCTCAGTGGTTCTGCTGCCTGCCCTGCAAGCGCAAGGATCCAAGTTCAATCCCTGGTACCAAAAAAAAGAAAGAAAGAAAAGCTATGGGAGACTTTTTTTTTTTCCTGGTACTGGGAATTGAACTCAGGACCTTGCACCTGCCAGGCAGTTGTGGTGCCACTGAGCTAAATTCCAGGCCCTGGAATACTATTCTTAAACTTATTTTTAAAACTTATTTTATTATGTATGTATAAGTTTATACATACATATATGAGTAGAAAAGAGAGGAAATGACTTACCTCCTTTACAATAGGTTGTGCTTTCCATTAATTTTGATAAGTGTGTGTTATATTTTTAAAAGCTCTTTCTATTTGGCACCTCTGTTATGTAACTTTGATATCAGAAATACACTATTATATCTTTTTGCTTTGCAGTCCATTGCTGATGGCTTTAAAGAGGCAGTCCGCTATGTACTTCCACGCCTTATGTTGGTACCAGTGTATCATTGTTGGCATTATTTTGAATTATTAAAGGTAAGGCAGAAACTTAATGGGCCCAAAGTATATGTATTTTTGAGGACTAATACTAGTTTTTAACCTGATCATACTATTATTTAATGCTTTTTATTCATAAAAATAAAATATCTTCACACTGAGATGTAGCTCAGTAATAAGGTGTTTATCAACATATGCAAGGATATGAGTTCAATCCCCAGTACCCCAATATATATGTTAAAATTTCTAACTTTTCTGGGATCTTGGAGAAAATCCCATATATCTCATCTTCATATCATTTCCATGTGGTAGACAGAGAGGAAAACCAAGCTTTATCTGTCATTTTTTTTTTACATAGAATCTTGGATTACCAACTAATAGAAAAGAGTTTACTTTTTAAAAATAATTTTTGAAAGCACAGAGTAGTAGTCTTTTAACTTGTTTTACTATAAGTAATATTTTTGTATAGCATTGTTGTAAATTTTTTTGTCTTGTTTTAACTTATTGAGAAAATCATTTTTGAAGTTGATATGCAGTGTTGTATTCTTCCTCTCATTGTTAGGACCAAGGAGCACATTGAGGTATATTATATGGAATATTTTTTGTGTGCCAGGAATTGAACTCAGGGCCTTGTGCTTGCCAGGCAGGCGCTACACCAATGAGCTACATCCCTGGACCAAGGGATATTATATGTATATATGTATGCATATACATTTTCTCTCTTACACACCCATATATATGTATAACTGTTTTTAAAAAGTAGGTCTTTAATTTACTGACCAATCACTAGTCTTAATCACATTGGCTAGGTGTAGTTAGCCAGTTAATTTAAGTACTAGCTGTGGCCTCAGGTTGAGTCTGGCTATCATAGTCAGTGTTTTAATCTTGGATACAGACATAGCTGTAAAACTAACCTTGCAGTCATTCAGATAGGGAAAAAAGTAAATTTCAACTACATAGTTGAATCAAGATTGTAAATGTTTGCGAATATAAAAGGCAACTATAGGGTCGGGGATATAGCTCAGTGGTGCCGCATCTGCCTTGCAAGCACAAGGTCCTGAGTTTGATCCCTAGTGCCGCAAAAATAAATAAATAAATAAATAAATGGCAACTATACACCTAATGATAGGACTTCTAAGAAAACCATGAACATTATTTTAAAAAGTTTTAGAAATCTAAGTAAACATCTGGAGCTGCTTATGTATTTGTATAAAGCTTGCAATCCTTTTTATGAATAGTTTTTCTTCATGCAGATATACATAGAATTATTCTGGCTTTTATTTTAATTATATAATATATCGTTGGTAATAATGTTAATGTTATTACCCTGTGTAATTGATGGAAAAAACCTAAACAGTCTGCCTAAACTAACAATTTAGTATTCTGAAGCAGTATAACATAAGTAGAAGACTGCTTTTAAAGAGCAATGAATAAGTTGGAAGGCCGGGAATTTAGCTCAGTGGTGCCGCCACCTGCCTCGCAAGTGTAAGGTCCTGAGTTCAATTCCTGGTACCAAAAAAAATAAAAAATAAAAAAATAAGTCAGAAAAGAAAATTTTACTAAGCAGGATATCCTGAAATTATACTTTAAAAAGGGAAATAATCTGAAAGTAGGCACAAGTGCTTACTGGACAAGTGCTTGCTGGGATCCGTGAGAATCAGTGGCAGTGACGCAGGGAAATGAGAATGAGTGATTGCCGACAGTCTCCACCTCTCATGTGACTACTTTGGTAATAACTCTTGCCTTTTAAAGATCAAGGGAAAGTAAATAAGATAAAAACCTGTGTCTAATGGCAGCAGATACTATTTTATAACTAGCTGCTTTAATAATCAAAGAATGAATAAAAAAGAGAAACCACCCATGTTTGGTCAATGAAGCTATGATCCTTGAAATAAATATGGTGTATCTTGTGTTTTAATTCATATACAGCAACAATTAGAGCAAATAGAAATTTGTAATGGAAAGATAAGCCAAGATAAGATACTTAAAATAGCAAAAGATTTTAATAACATCGCAAAAGATGATATTAAAGAAAGTCAGTGAATATGGGTTCAAGCTCATGAAAAATTACATGATACCATATACAGTTTACCTAAAATTAAAGATTACTGTCATATTTTAAAGTTAATTTTATAACATTTTTCTTTTTGTTCTCTTCAAGTTCAGACACCCCCTGGGTTAACTAACCACACTTTACATTTTTTTCTCAGATCAACTTTAGATAAACCTTTTACAAACTACTTTTTAAAAAATTTTTATCAGTACACGTTTGCAGTATATATTCATTACATTCATTGTGGGGAATTGCTACATGTACATAACACATATCAATTCTTTTTTCCTCCTTCCCCTCTACCTCCTTTTACTTTTCTTTTTTTTAAAGATACATTTTAGATTTTTTAATACATACTTTAATCTTTATACAAGAGGAAAAAGAAACATTTTACCTCCCAATTTATAAATAACCTCATGATATGATTTTTATATTCAAAGAAAAAAATCTATGTTCTTTATTACTAAGGACATACTTTCTCACTTCAAAATGGATTTATTCGAAGTCAAATAACTCTTTTGCTTTACTAAACCCATGGGCATATCCTGGAAATTTAGTTAATAGACAGAATAGAAATCCTCCTTTCTCTCAAGAAGTCTAACTTTTGCTTAAAGCTTAATAGGAAGACACTTACTTCCATGAGATTCATTGGAAGTTAGGCCAGTGTTTCAATATGAACTTGAGTTTCTTTAGGTAATACGTTTTTTACCTTTTACTTTGAAAACTAGAAAAGTTACAAAAATAATATAGTGAGCTCCTTTTACCTAGATTCACTATTGTTAACATTAAACATTTGTTTTGTCCTTTTGTGTGTGTATATATGTATGTAAATCTTTAAGTATATTCTTAACTTCAAAGCTTGAGGTGCTATTGAAAGAAACATCCTGATCCTTGAAAAAGACTGTGTGAGTGTTATTTTACTCCATATTTACTCTTTCAGTGCTGATACATCATCCAAGGACATACTGAAGAAAAATAATGTGTGTATGTTTTTTAAAGGACATTTTTAAAAAAGGATCGTGAGTTTTGACTTGAATTTTTCACGAAATTACTCATTCTACTTTTATCAAAATCTAGAAAGTTTGGGCTGGGGATTTAGCTCAGTGGTTCCGGTGCCTGCCTCACAAGCGCAAGGTCCCAAGTTCGATCCCCGGTGCCAAAAAAAAAAAAATCTAGAAAGTTTATTACCAGAAAAAAAAGAATTGCTGATATACTGTCTCACATCTAGACTGAACTCCCAGTTCAGTGAAGTAGAGATGAATTCATAATTTATTATAGTTTCCATTGCTTCAGACATACAGATATCCATAGTAGATGTAGCTTGGCAGATATTTCAGTGACATCTCATAGAGTTAAGAAAAACTTACATGAAGTATAAAATCTTAGGTGAGATATACTTTTAAACAAGTAAGTAGAATGGCAGTTGTCATATAAGCAAAAAATATATTCTTCACTCAGGTTCATAAGACACTACAAATTAAAGAAGTATCACTTCCATTTTATTACTTTTAATCATCTATTGCAAGGGTGTTTATTCTCTGACCTTTTTTCCAAAGCATACTCAGTTTCATTAAACTGTAATTGTCCAGTTTGTTTTAAACATAGAAGGGGTCTTTTTTTAACTTGTCACCAGATTTAGGCACAGACCAATATTTTGCTTAGTTGTGTCTGGTGTCATTGTAGAGAAACGATGACAACTTAAAAGTATTCATTGCTAAAATTGTAAGTATAACCAGTTATATTCTGATTACTTCTGAATTTACTTTTGGGTGCTTAACCACATGCAAGTACTACACTAAAAATGGATAAGACATATCCCCAGTCTTTAAGGAGTTTAAAATTTAGTGAAGAAGATGGATGTCAAACAAATACTTACGTTGATGCTGGCAAAAAATAAACAAAGGGGTGGAGGGGAAAGGAGAAAAGCATTGAGATGTATTATGTACATGTACCAGTTCCCCACAATGAATGTAATCATGTACTGCAAACACATACCAATAAAAATAAAAACATTTTAAACATACTAATCTTTAAAAAAACAAATAATTGGGCCAGGGACTTAGCTCAGTGGTGTCACCGTCTGTGCACAAGGTCCTGAGTTTGATCCCCAATACCCAGTACCAAAAAAAAAAAAACCCAAACAAAGTCAGGGGATTTAGCTCAGTGGTTCTGCCCCCTGCCTTGCAAGCGCAAGGTCCCGATCCCTGGTACAAAATAACAAACAAACAAACAAATAATTAAATCTAAGTGCCTAATAGAAGTAGTACAGTGGTATCCCTGAGGTAGGAGTAACTACCTCTGCCTAGGGAAATCAATACAAATTCATATGGATGTTGGATGTATAGTTATCCTTGGGGGCAGGAGCGCACTTATTTATTTGAGGGAATCATGAAAGACACAAGTGCTGAGAAACTGTACGGTTAAAAGAGACAATAGGAACATTACAAATTAGTGTAACACTTAGCAGATCCTATGTTAGAGGAAAATTACCCTAAAGGAAATTATTGCAACAATTGATAAAATTGAACCTGAAGTTGATTACTATTCTATAAAAGAATATTCTTATTCTAAAATTACCACTATGGGAGGGAGGGAGGTGGGGTTGGGAAGAGGAATAAAAATTAAGATATTTTATGTACATGTACATGTACATTCCCTAAAATGACTGTAAACTTCATGTATTCCAAATATGTGATAATAAAATAAGAAAAGAAAATTACTACTAAAATATAGTATTAAAGGAGTAAAAGGGAATGATATTATTTAAGAGTAATTTGTGACAAGTTTGACTTTATATTCCAAACATAATCTCAAAACTGTTCAGTGTTTTCCTTTTCTCTGCAAGAAACAGAATGGATAGTATCACAGAGTACTCTTAAATAATCTGGGAGAAATGTGGTGTACACACATTGACATGCAGAGTAATGAAGCATGTGGCAGTGGTAAGATGTTAAAAATTAATAACTTGGCTGGGCATACCTGTAATCCCAGTACTCTTTGGGGGCTGAGGGAAGAGGATTGCAAGTTCAAGCCCAGCCTGGGGAATTTAGTGGTTTAGTGAGACCCTGTCTCAAAAGAAACAATAAGAAGGGCTGGGGGTGTGGCTCAGTGTGAAGGCTCTGTGTTTAATCACCAGTACCACCCCAGAATATCCAGCAGTAACTTGTACTACTTTTGCAACTATTCTGTAAATTTGCTATTACTTCACAAGAAAAAACTTAAAGGGAAAAAGAAATCACTGAAAGGCGTCATTTCTGAGTATCCTCGAGGGTAAATTTATCAGATAGGTAAGGAGGGCAGAGGCCAAATGTAGAAAATATACTGAGCCTTGGAAGAACATGGCCCATCTGCAAATATTCAGTACAGTAATTTCTTGGGGATTTTTCTATGTTAGTGTAAGAAGTTTAGAATACTTTCTTCCAGATATCTATAGAGAATTAGCTTGAGTATTAAGCTGATGTGTATTCTTATTCCTGAAAATTCAAGAAACATTTAGCAAATTATTAGACTTAAGATGATGTAAAATAGAGCCATTATTTTATATACTTCTGTCACCAGAAAATTTAATTCTCTGGATGTCCTGAAATTTTTTATTGCTTAACAACATACATTATTATATGGCTATTTAACACATTCATGATGGGGCATAATTTATATGTCTCACTGCCAAACGGCTCTGAACCACCAGTGGTACATGCATGAACCATCCGGTGGCAAGGATACAAGCCACCTGATGGACAATCGTGTATATACTGCTGGTGGTTCAAGCTGGCAGAACCGTGTTAAAAATGACATATGTAAGAGTTTGTTTGGGCAGCTGTAATAAGTACATAGCAGATATTTAGTATCCTCATACCCCTGAATTGGAAAGTAGTTCCCATTTTGTAGAATAGGAATTGTGATTAGTGATAATTTGCAAATTTTGGCCAACAAAACCAATAACAATAAAAAAACCTGTAAGTATACCATCAACATCCATCTTTATTAAGAGAATACTTTAGAATGAAGCTGAGAATCGTTTTGTAAAAAAAAAAAAACTTTAAAGAAGCAAAATAAGTGATGTTAGTAATTTTCACCCTTAAAAGTCAGAATAACCAAGCATTCATCTTCTTGCAAACTTCCAGTGATATTTTGATTCTTTTCCCGTTATCTTTTCAATGTTTTGTTTCTTGTACTAGATTTTTTAAAGTACTTTTTTTCTGAACAAAATAATGGAAATGCATTGGAACAAAATTTCTTACATTTAGGGTGGTCTGTGTAGGAGGAGGAGGAGTACTAGACTCAAGATCACTGGGACACAGATCACTTCTGTCATCTGTTAAAGGAGGAAAACACTTGCTTCCTGTGACACTTAATGAGAGAAGATGTATGCGAAGACTTTACACATTATAAAGTACCACAGAAATAAGGGCTTTTATTATTTTGATTTTTTAAGAATACAAAAATGGAGAAGAGACCATTCTGTGAAGATTTTGTGCAGTGTAAACAGAAGGCTCATCTAGGCTGGGCATGGTGGCGCATGCCAATGTTTTATTTCTTAATCTAGAGGTTGAGTTATTACTTCTAGTGATAGTCATTTCATTTACAGTATTTTCGTTGCTAAGACTTCTACAGATATCTTTTAAAAATAAGATGGCTCTGTATTCCATTTGGGGAATACTTTTTAGGACATATATGAAAGATCATGAATGAGGTTCTCAAATACTCAGCCAGTTCTTTGCTAAGGAAGGGAAACCATTGCCGAATGCTTTTGAGATTGTTCTTGTAATAAAAAAAAATTTTTAATTTATCACAAACTTCTTGTAAGTTAAAAATCTTAAATGTTTTTAAAATTTTTATGGGGCCAGGGATTTAGCTCAGTGGTTTCGTCGCCTGCTGCGCAAGTGCAAGGACCAGAGTTCGATCCCCGATACAAAAAAAAAAATTTATGAAAGTGATAGTTTTTCCATATTATATATACATTTATGTTTTTGTAGTTTCTGTATAATACCTATGTAATACTCCACTTTGAATTCTGTGAGGATGGTTGAAACAAAGGACATAATCCAATCTAAATTATTTATTATAAGGTAAATAAATTTTCTTCCTCAGTGTGATATACCAGAGAAATTTTTTAACAAATGAAATAAAACCAAACTTTTGAGGATTAAATAAATCAATTTGAAAATCTTATTTCTAAGGATTAATAAGGTAGAATATTAATTTTTGTGGTTTCTTGGTAGTATTTACTAGAATGGTTGGATTTTTATGTTGTAAAAAATAGTGAAATCCTTTGTAGACTCTTAGCAGAGTAATCTACAATGGAATGGAGTATTAAAGTTTGTATACCTGATTGTCGTCTAACAAAGATATGTAAGCTTTTTGAAATTACTGGAACTTATATATTTTAAGTGCTAGAGAATATGAATTAATTCATAGCAGTTTATCTTATATTCCCTGTGCATAGTTGCTAGTGAATAAAAGTTAACTTGTAAGTTTTATGTTTTAGATATTTTAAACAATCTTTGTTTCACTGGAAAATGTCCAACTGATTTTCACAGTAACTTGTTTTTTTACTGATTGCTGGTGCTAATCATACTTTATATTTGTATTGTATTTGTAGAAAGAAAGTTGTTTTGGGGGTTGAGGAGGTATATAATTATATAAAATTATAGTGGTTTTTATTAAGTGTATTTAAAACGTTTAAAGCTTATAAGATTTGTTGCTGCTTTCTCTAATTACAAGAAAACCAAGGGAAGACTCAATGCAGTTTTATCTTTTGTTTTTTTCTTAGCAATTGAAAGCATGTAGTGAAGAGCAAGAAGACAGAGAATGTTTGAATCAAGCTATCACTGCTCTCATGAATCTCCAAGGTAGCATGGACCGGATTTACAAGCAGCATTCTCCTCGGCGCCGGCCCGGGTAATTCACTGTTGAAAATCTGAATGCCTCTGTAGACTTTATTGTGTCTGGTGCCTGCGTTCTCAGGAAATGTGATGTATAGTGATAGTTGATTCTTAAAAGTTATACTTTGCCTTCACCTTTGTTAATGTTGTTGTTTTAGTCTTAAGATTAGCATAGCTTCTGGAGTTGGATCCCCGGTACCAAAAAACCAAAAATATTAGCATAGCTGTGTTGTTAAGAGATACTTAATATACCTAAAAATATATATATATTTTGTATAATCTATGAAGAAATTTAGGATTCTTTATATTTAGTTTTTGTGTCATTAAGAGTAAAATATGGAGCCTGTAGTACTTCTCTTTCACAATAATGAAATTTGAGCACATATTATTTAGTGGCAAGGTTAGAAAAAAGTAAATATTGTATTTGGTTATTTTACTTCTTTTTAAAACTTGAATCCTGGGGGTTGAACCCAGGCCCTCGCCCATGGTAATCATGTGCTCTACCCCCGAACTGCATCCCTCGGTCCAATTTAATTGTTTTGTCACTTGATTTGATGTAATTTATTGACACAGTTAGGGTTGCCTAATCATTGAATAAGCTAAACTTATGTTGGTATTTTTTTTAAGGGATCCTGTTTGCCCTTTTTATAATCGTCAATTAAGAAGCAAGCACCTGGCTATCAAAAAAATGAATGAAATTCAGAAAAACATAGATGGATGGGAAGGCAAAGATATTGGACAGTGTTGTAATGAATTCATAATGGAAGGATCGTTGACAAGAATTGGTGCTAAACATGAGCGGCACATTTTTCTCTTTGATGGCCTAATGATCAGCTGTAAACCTAATCATGGCCAGACTCGGCTTCCAGGTTACAGTAGTGCAGAATATAGATTAAAAGAAAAGTTTGTCATGAGGAAAATACAAATCTGTGATAAAGAAGATACTTGTGAGTGCAAACATGCCTTTGAATTAGTATCCAAAGATGAAAACAGCATAATATTTGCTGCTAAGTCTGCTGAAGAGAAAAATAATTGGATGGCAGCACTTATTTCTCTTCATTATCGTAGCACTCTAGATCGAATGCTAGATTCTGTATTACTGAAGGAAGAAAATGAGCAACCACTGAGATTACCAAGTCCAGAAGTGTATCATTTTGTGGTAAAAGACTCTGAGGAAAACATTGTTTTCGAAGACAACTTGCAAAGTAGAAGTGGAATCCCCATTATTAAAGGAGGAACTGTGGTGAAGTTAATTGAAAGGTTAACATATCATATGTATGCAGGTGTGTGAAACTTGTTATAAATGCTTAACGTAGGGCTTTTGGTTTTTAAGGATATTCAAAAATGTTTGGGGCTTGGAAAAAAATGGATTGACTCTTTAAAAAATACTGATTAAAAGAACTAAGTGTTTCTAAAATGTAATATTGTTAACTTTATTAATTATTAAGTAAGCGTTCCATGGTTTTTCTTTAAATGAGAAACCCAAAATATAAATAAAGAGCAAAATAAAAGATAAATAATAGAAAGTTGGGAGATATTTTACAGAAGGGAAGGGACCAAGAGATGGAGGGAGGGGCAGAGAACGGAATGAAAGAGAGTTAGGGTGTGATGCTCGTGTGCCAAGTCCCCGCAAGAGTGTGATTATTACTGCAAACACATACTAATAAATGTTTTAATTAAAAAATAAGTGAAGTTTGCATAGTCATGAATTTTAAATTTGTAAAATAATCCTTACTTATCAAGAAATATCACAACTGGCAAGAAAAGCCACAGTGCAGGGAGCCTAAGTAAAAAGAAGGAAGGACAAATATGATATTTTGAATTAAAATGAGTAAATTGAACATGAAATCTGTTTTTATGCTCTGCTTTTTCAGATCCCAATTTTGTCCGTACTTTTCTTACCACATATCGTTCATTTTGTAAACCACAGGAATTGCTAAGCTTACTGATCGAACGGTGAGAAAATGTATATTTTACTTACGCTAACTGCTTTGTATGTTGCAAAGTGCCCACTCAGATAGTTGTTGAACATAATTTATTTGGCATTACATTGGCAGTGTTACTGATCTCATCAAAGACTACTCACTGAATTCCTATTTGTAAGAGTTACTTTTAGCTCTAGCAGTATTTCAGGTGGTAAGCATAAAGATCCAATTTAGAAGATTAAAAACTACATTTTAGTGAAATTTGTTCTGTTCCTTAAAAGAACTTTTAAAATTTTTCTTTTTTAAAACAAACTTGTTATGGAAAACTTTAAAATATATACAAGAGTAGATAGAAGAATATAATAAACCCATTTACTTATCACCCAACTTTAATAATCATCAATTCATGTCTCATCTGTTTCCCTATAGATTTAAACATCACACCCCTAGGATTATTTTGAAGTAGATTTCAGACAACATATTTTATCTGTAAATACATCTATGTATCTCTAAAAAATAAATATTCTAATTTTTAAAAATGATATCACTATTAAGCCTAAAAATTTCAGTTCCTTTATTATAATGTTTGTGTATTTGATACAGGGTAACTGAATCCAGGACCTCAAACATGCTAGGCAAATGCTCCACCACTGAGCTGCCTCCCAGCCCTTTTAAAATTTTATTTTCAGACAAAAAATGATGTTTGTTTTACATTTAAGAACTTTACAGCTTGACCTATGCTTCCATGTTGTTACAAAACTAAATTCACTAGACTAACTCAATGTAATGTATTATGAAGGTCTACTTAGTTGTATTTCTGTGTCTAAAATGAGAAAAACATAACTTGTTAGACTTACATTTTAGCTGTATTTCCTATGATTGGGCAAGATTTTTGTTTGTTGAACTTTGATTGTTTATCTTACCCTCTTAGACTCCTTTTAGGCCTCCTTTTTGAATTCATAATCATTTAAGGAAATTTATTAGCCTGCTTTCATTTTAATAATATAAATATTAAGGATAGATTATTAGATAAGGGTTTTTTTGGAGGGGGGGTTGGTGGTACTAGGAGAGAAAGCAGGGTTTTCACACTGAGCTACATCCCCAGCCCTTTTTTATTTTTAAATTTTGAGACAAAATCTTGAACTTGAAATCCTTCTTTAAAAAAAGAAGGAAAGAAAGAAATCCTTCTTCAGCCTCCAGGATGCTCAGATTAAGGTGTGCACCCAACACCTACCCTTCTTTCAAGTATTTTTTGGGGGGTTGTTGAGACAAGGTCTCATTATACAGTTCAGGCTGGCCTTGAACTCACGGGGGTCCTCCTGCCTCGGCCTCCCAAGTGCTGGGATTACAGGTGTGCGCCATCATGCCCAGCTTCTTTCATGTTCTTTAAGAGAATTATACTCCTTGTGGGTTTTTTTCTTGGATCTTTAACATGAGCCATTCTGTGTTAATGAGTGGTAGTTTTGCAACTTTTTTTGATAAAACTGAAGATGTAAAGCCTTAGTACCATGTAGCCAAAGGGCAATTTTTTGTAATATGCAATACCTTAAGGGAGGCTTAAAAGTAATTGCACTTTCCACAAAGTGATAGGAAAGAGGATTGTTTAGTCAGAATATTTTTCCTGTTGTATTTGAAATCTTTTTTATTTATATGTGAACAAATTTCTCTCCTTTTGTTTTCTTCTTAGATTTGAAATCCCAGAGCCAGAACCTACTGAAGCAGACAAATTGGCAATAGAGAAAGGCGAGCAACCAATCAGTGCTGACTTAAAAAGATTTCGCAAGGAATATGTTCAGCCAGTACAACTTAGGTTTGACCTGACTATTACATTTTTAATGTGCTATTTGATTTTCAGTAATTACTGCAAATAAATACAATTTTAGAGGAATAATGGTGCTTCCAGCTATATATCTTTCAGCCAAACTTTTAACATGTTATTCTTTGTATGAGATTATTTACCTGTCAATATTAAAGAGGAAATTAATTTTTCTCTGTGAGCTATAGTGCATTCAGATTGATCTACGCTCAAATTAAGTCTGTTGATGTGAGGCATATATTTGTGAGGTTCTGTCTAATGCAGGAAATAAGATCTTAGGCTCAGTCATATAAATCCTTTATTTTTAAGCATTTTCTGTGTTCTGTACTTGTATACTGTACTTGCATTGAAACAAAAATAACATAGCCTGTCGTGATGTTATAACATCATGATACCATGATTTTATTGAGAAAAAGGGACACATGGGACAGTCACAGTATTTTTTGGGTGTTTAAGTAGTTTACAAAAGTGCATGCCTATACAATTTTAGAAATGGCCAAGATTAGACTGTAGTAATTAGGAAAGACATCTGGAAAGAGGGAAAATCCAAGATTATCCCTAACATATATTTAGAATAGGCAGAAAGTCAATTATAAGGAAGTAAGGGTCATGGGAAACAATATCGATAAAAGGCAAAAAGACAATTGAGAATGGCATACAGAAGAAATGCATGAGGAAACTGAGCTTGGAGGAATGAAGACATTATATTGCAGGTGGTGGTAGATGAGATTGATACATGGATGGGGTGGAGTTATGATATTTTAAACATAAAGCAAAATGGAGAGAATTTTACAGTGAATACCTTTAAGCCCACTGCCTGCATGTATTGTTAACATTTTTCTATACTTCTTTTTACCATCTATATATTCATTTGTTGTTCTTCTGTCAGTCTATTAATCACCTTTTTTTGTTATATTTGAAAGTACACTTCTGAAATACTTCCAACTTGTATATTAACAGTTCAGCATTTATCATTTGTTCTAAAATGTGCATATAGTAAAATGCATACATCTTAAGTGTACTTTGGTTGAATTTTAGCAAATGTGTGTGTCGAATCTCTCTAATCCGAACTCCAAGATAAAGAATATTAATAGAATGTTAACGTCCCCAGGAAGTTCTCTTTTGCTTCTAATCACTCCCCCTCCCCTCATCCCCAAATGCTGTTTTCTGGGTTGTTTTGTTTTTGATATTGAATTTAGGGCCTTACTAATGGTAGGTAAGCACTGTACCACTGAGCAATACCTCAGTCCTTTTTATTTTATTCTGAGACAGGATCTACTACTATGCACAGTTGGCCTGGGCCTCAGCCTCCCAAGTAGCTGGGACTTATAGGCATGCACTACCATGCCTGGCCCAACCACAATATTATGATTTTTCTGCATAGACTAGTTTTAGCTGTTGAAGAATTGCATATAAATAGATTGTTATTCTCTTTTTTTTTTTTTGTACCGGGAATCAAACTCAGGGCCATGCTTACCAGGCAGGTGCTGCACCGCTGAGCTACATCCCGAGCCCATAGATTGTTATTCTTTCTGACTTCTTTCATTCAACGTGCTTTTGAGATTCATCCATGTTACTTAAACCAGTTTTCTCTTTTATTACTGAGGTAATGTTTCATTGCATGGATATACTACAGTGTGTGTTTGTTTTTCCCATTGAAGGATTCCTGGACATTTTCTAGGCTTTATTATGAATAAAGCTGCTGTGATTTCTGTCTTACAAGTCTAACAGTTTCTCTTTATCTCTTTTTCACTTATTTTGTGTAAATAACTCAAGAGTGGAATGGCTAGGTCAGAATTTTCTCTAAACACTCGGACCAACAGTGTATGAGAGTTCCAGTTGTTACTTATCTTCACTATGTTTACCATTGTCAGTTTTTATACCTTAACCATGCTGCTGGCTGTAGAATGGTATCTCATTGTGTTTGGAATTCGTATTTCTCTAATATTGAGAACTTCTCACTGCCTCTTATTGGCCATCCGTATTTATTTGTGAAAAACCATTTGAATCTTGTGTATTTGTTGAGTTGTTTTCTCTCTGATTGTAGGAATGTATTGAGTAGGATTTGAGGTAATCCTTTGTCAGAAAAATGTTTTGCAGATATTTTTTCCCAGACTGTCTTGCCTTGCTGAAGTTTTAAATTTTGGTGAAGTCTAATGATGAGATTTTTTTTTTTCTTATGTATGATAATTTTTTTTCTTGGTACCGGGGATTGAACTCATTATGTATGATAATTTTTAAATTACGCTGATATTATAGAAACAAGAAGAAAAAATAGAAGCAGAATTATAATGTCTTGATACACTCTCTAGGCCACTGAGCTAACCAGACAATGATGTAAGGTTGTTTTAATACAAATAGCGTGACAAAAATTAGGAGTTAAATGTATTTTTTTTAACCTGAAAGAACTACTGTTGTCTGTCAGGAGGGAATAGAAGTTAACTTGGAAATGGTCATTTGTTGAAATAATGAAAAAAAGTTAATATAACGAAATTATATAATCAGTATATCTGTGTGGTAGTGAATGGAATGTCATGTTTGTGTAGATGATTAAATGTGTACTTGGAAACTTCTAAGGCATATTTTCATAATTCTACAAAACTAAATAGGTCTCTATCAAAAATATTTTGTCTGGTTTGGTGCTCTACACCTGTAACCCCAGGGTGCAGAAGGCTGAGGCGGGAACATCAGGAGTCCAAGACCAGCCTGGGCAATTCAGCGACTTCGTGAGATTCCATCTCAAAAAATAATAAAAAGGGATGGGGGTGTAGCCCTGGGTTCGAGCCCCAGTACCACATGAAAATAAAATACTGTCTTTGGAAATGAAATAAGACATTATGGGTATATTTGTAGGTTACATATTTGAATTTTAGAATCTAATACATTAAATCTTAGCTTTCTGTTTTCTGTGAAAAATATATCAAAATTTATATTTTAAAAATGCTTTTTTTAGCTTCAGAACTTTAAAAATAGCTTTTTTACTATATAGCATGTGAATTTTCTACATATAAATAAAGGTACTTTTCCATAACATGAGTGAGTAATTAAGCACAGAGACCACAGTTTTTATACTTCTAAATATTTTAAAGTTTAATTTAAAAATAATTTGTAATCTGGAAAACAGTTTTCTTTATATTATTGAAGAAAGTTATTTATGATATTAAATACAGATTAATGATTCTGGAAGTATTATATTGGTTCTTGTACATAAAACTACCACCATGGCATTAGAGAAGTAAAATAAATGTACTTTAATGTTTAGGTTTCATTAAAATGTGTTTCTTTCCATTTTATCAGGGTCTTAAATGTGTTTCGGCACTGGGTCGAACACCATTTTTATGACTTTGAAAGAGACTTGGAATTGCTTGAAAGACTAGAATCCTTCATTTCAAGTGTAAGAGGTACATTATTTAAAGATTAAATTGAATCTCATGTTGCACAAGTTTATTTTCAAGATTGTGTCATTTATAATTAATCTAAACTTTCTTGTTTTTAGAAAGTTGAAATAACATTTGGAATGATTTTTATAGTCTCTAAAAAGCTCACATATGTTTAGAGTCACCTGAAGCTTCAAGACCTTGGCTTTTAAGTTTTTGTGTATTTGTTAGCAGTGCTGGGCATCAAACCCAGGGCCCCGCAAGTACTAGGCAAGTGCTCTAGCACTGTGCAATACCCTCAGCCCCTTTTTCAAGTTTTTGAGGAGAGCATTTCTTTTAAAGAAGTCAAAAGTCTTCTTTAATAAATTTAAGCTGTTTACTTTTATCTTACCTTAAGGTTGCCATTCCTTCAATAAATAAAAATGTGTAGTTTTTTGTTTTCTTATTCTCCTTAATCTTCTTTAATTTTGGATGATTAACAGCTTTTTTATACTAACTCCCCCTGGAAAGTAGACATTTCCTATTTCAAGTTTCTGAATCATGGCCTATGAACCAAAACTCTAGGCCATGAACATTTCATCAAATATATGTGTGATTAGATGTATTTTATTAAATTCAGAACATTGATATTTTATCGAAGAGTATGAGACAGTAAGAATAATATAACAATGGGCCGGGGATTTAGCTCACTGGTTCTGCCGCCTGCCTTGCAAGCACAAGGTCCTGAGTTTGATCCCCGGTACCAAAAAAATAAATAAATAAAAATAACAAGACTGGGCCGGAGATTTAGCTCAGTGGTTTCCTTGCGTGCTGCGCAAGCGCAAGGACCTGAGTTCGATCCCTAGTACCAAAAAAAAAAAAAAGGACTGGTATATTTCATCTCCTATTTATTCTTTAAGAGGAATTTAATTTAGAGAATGTGACTCTTTCGTTTCAACTTTGAGATGTTTAAGATATTTTTATCATGTATATTTAAAAATTGTTCATAATACTAAATTACATTATAATCCTGATGAGAATACTAGATTATATATAATCTAAAGTTTCTAAAACACATACATGTACTAAAATAAATCAAGTAAATGGTTATGTTTAACTTCTATGCAAGTTATACTTCATGAGGGAAAGTTCATTTTTTTATAGATGTATTCGAGTAATAAAGAAGGGATGATATGGTATCATTCCTTAATTCTGATAAAATAAAAGATCTAGGGAATTATGAGTAGATGGTTAACATCGTAAAGAGGGAGATATCAGACATTGTATGCCTCCTGTTGGAAATATTCTCAGCAAGTACTCATGAGAAAACATTGATCCTGAATTAGTCAAGTCTCTGTGGTTTTCAGAAAATATAGGATGTAGAGAAACCCAAAAAATGACGGCACAGAAAAGCCAGGTATGGTGGTGCATGCCTATAATCCCAGCACTCAGGAGCTGAAGCAGGAAGATCACCATGAGTTTGAATCCAGTCTGGGCTACACAGTGAGTATAGGGTCAGCATGAGCTACATATTGAGACCCTGTCTCAAACCAAAACAAAACACCACAGAGGTAGAATTGGCAAAATACAGAGTTGGAAAACACTACAAGATGGATGATTCCGTTTCTTCAACAAGTAAATTGCAAGCAAAAATAAGCAATAAAAGAGGAGCCCATGGATTAAAGGCTCTAGACTTGAGACATAGAGACTAATGGAATATGTGGCTCTTATTTGTGGCCTTTTTAAAAGAAACCCAACTGTAAGAAAACATTTAAGATATAAATAGAGAAATTTGAAGGCTAACAATAATTGGTGATCTTAAGGTTTCAGTTTTTATGTGATAATGATATTGTGATTATGTTAGAGGATCTTTCAGAGACATGTACTTACATATGAATGAAGTGGTATGATGTCTTGGATTTGTTTCAAGCATAACTCAGGGAAGGGCGTGAATGTGGTTAGATGAAGCAAAAATTGGCCATGAGTTGATAATTGTTGAAACTAGGTAAAAGTTAAAGATTACATGAAGATCACAGTTATGTCTGTCAAGCAAAAACAGGTTTTTTTTGTGTTCTTTTCCCAGGGAAAGCCATGAAGAAATGGGTAGAGTCAATTGCTAAGATCATCAAGAGGAAGAAGCAAGCGCAGGCAAATGGAATAAGCCATAATATTACCTTTGAAAGTCCACCTCCTCCAATTGAATGGCATATCAGTAGGCCTGGACAGTTTGAAACATTTGATCTCATGACCCTTCATCCAATAGAAGTTGCACGTCAGCTAACACTTTTGGAATCTGATCTCTACAGGTAGATAACTAATGATAATTTCTTACTCTATTTTAAAGAACCTTGAAATAAAGTAATTCAGCTAATAAAAAAAAGAACCTTGAACATACCTCTTACTTGTTTTCAAAATATTTTGCTAATTATTCACAAGTGCTTAAAAATACCTCATCTATTCTCCTGGGCTTGGAGGAAAGCTCACAGCACAGTATTTACCACAGTCTGTCCCGCAAGTAAAAGTCTTCTAACGTATTGCTAGGCCTAGATTAGAGGCTAATAATCCTTCACAAAAAGGAATAGCAGGAAAAAGACAAATGCAAGAGCACATCAACCACTTTGAAGTGATTCCCCCTCTCCTGTTCCTAGTACTTTCTTACTTGGCAACTAAGAGCACTTCAGTTGGTGGCCATACTATGGGATTTATGATTGATAACAGTGAAAGGACTGTTATTTGAGGTAACAAAGCAAATAGTATTAAATCGAGTTTTTCCTCATAGAATGCCTGTTATATGAGTGGACATCAGAAAAAAAGCGCTTATTCCACATGGACCTGCTTTTGGACAGAGAAATACTGCTATTAGTGATGTGTTCGTGAATATGGAAAAAGGGCAAAATACTACATAAAACATTGAAAAAATAAATGTAAATTGCTAATGAAATAATAGTGGTACTTAAGAAACATATTCTAAAAACTGTTAGCGTGTACCTCTTTTACTCAAAGCTATTGATTTAAAAAATTTTTATGAATAGCCAAGACCATAGGATATTGATGACAATGCCATTGCTCATTTTTTTAAATAATGTCATTCTGATTCATTGTATATGATGATTTAATCTGCTTTTCTGTCCGATTTTTTTATTAGCTGTTTCAAGCATCCAGACAAATGTAGAAAATAATATAATGAGTGCTAATTTAAAAGCTAAGTATTATTTTGATTTAAAAGCTATATAATAAGTGCTAATGAACCACAGAAACATAGATAAAATTTAAAATTCTCATAATTTTTCCCATTCTCATTGCTCTCCTTTTCTGGAAAGAAATGACTCCTATCCAGAATTTGATGTTTGTTGTTCCTCTATTTGTAATAGATTTACATATATACACACTTTCCTAAATAATGTATAATATTGGCTTGCACATTTTTAAACTGCATATAATTTTGTATCATTTTGCAGCATGCTTTTTCTTAAATTTTTTTTTTTTTTTTTGTACCGGGAATCGAACTTGGGTCCTTGCGCTTGAGAGGCAGGTGGCAGAACCGCTGAGCTAAATCCCCAGCCCTTAAATTGTTTTTAATACTTGTTCAAGTTGATGAATACAGTTCTGGTTTGCTTATTTTAACCACTGTCTAGTATTCCATGTATGAATGTTTCAGTTTATCCATTCTCTTGATAATGAACCTCTAGATTGTTTGGGAGTTTTCACTTTTGCAAACAAAACTTCTAGTAAGTGTGCTCTTATGACTTTGTGTAAGAGTTTATGTAGAGAATACACTTAAGAGTAGGATGGCTAGGTCAGGTAATACGTACTACCTGAGAAATTGATGAATTATTTTTACAAAGTGGTTTTATCTAGGTTTTACTTGCAAATCAGTATTGGAAAGTTCCTCTTCTGTCATATTTTTACTCAGATTTTGGTTAGTTTGATGGATTAAAATGGAATTTCATTGCAGTTCTATGTTCTTTTTCCTGAATGAGGGATATTTTTTCATGTTTATGGCTAATTGGGTCTCTTACTCTGTGAACTTGTTTATACGCTTGTCAGTTTTTCTTTTAGGTTGTCTCTTTCTTGCTAAGTTCAAGGAGATCTTTAAATAATTTTGATACTAATCCTTTGGAGGTCAAGTTGTATTGATATTTTATTCCACAGGAAAGTCCAACCTTCTGAACTTGTAGGGAGTGTGTGGACCAAAGAAGATAAAGAAATAAATTCTCCAAATTTATTGAAAATGATTCGCCATACCACAAATCTCACTCTCTGGTTTGAAAAGTAAGTTGTTATTTACTCCATCTTACTGCTTTTTAATAGTCCCTGTTATTATATTTAACATAAAATTGTGACTCTAAAGAAGTTTGTTTTCTAAATGAGGTGAAGACACTTTTCCAAGCCACTAATGTGTTGTTTTTGTTGTTACTAGATGCATTGTGGAAGCTGAAAATTTTGAAGAACGGGTGGCAGTACTAAGTAGAATTATAGAAATTCTGCAAGTTTTTCAAGATTTGAATAATTTCAATGGTGTATTGGAGATAGTCAGTGCCGTAAATTCAGTGTCAGTGTACAGACTAGACCATACCTTTGAGGTAAGTTTTAGGCTTAAACATTTCATCCTTTTAAATAATGTAAAAGAGACTACTTCTACTACGTATCTTTTTTAGTAAATCCTTTGTAAATTCACCCTTTCTTCTTAAATACAGTGATATGAAGATAGGAAAATACTAGAAGATATATGAATATATATTAGGAATAAGCTTAGGATTCATCAAAGAATATGGGACTTTTGTACCTCATAATTAATAAGTATATTAAACCTATATTAAACCCTAACTCTAACCCTAACTTAGATGTGGTAAAGTTTCAAGTGGATTTTTTCAGAAGCGCACTGATAGTCTCACTTAAATGACAAAAGATTTAAAATATGATACAAATACCTTCTCTTTTTTTTGGTACCAAGGATCAAACTCAGGACCTTGCACTTGTGAGGCAGGCAGTAGAACCACTGAGCTAAATCCCCGGCCCGCAGATACCTTCTTAATCACCTATAATATACAGTTGAAAAAGAATGACATGGAGAGAACCCATTCTTTAAAACTTAAATTTATTTTTTAAATTATAAAATAATTTGTTTAGTATTTATTATAGAAAACTCAAGATAAAGAAAGTATAGAAAGACATTTTATGTCTTTTAATAACAAAACTAAGACCATATTGTATGTAGATTTGTAAGGCTTACATATCTTTCTTACAAACTTTTTCCTGTTTAATTAGCTTGTCCTTAAAAACAAAATTTATAATGACTGTGTGGTTTTCTGTTGTATGGATAAAACATAACTGATTCCATCATTCTGTTGTGGAATGGTGAAGTTATTTCTGATTTTTTGTTGTGGTACATAATTTATTGTGTATTATCCATACACATAAATCTTTGTAAGAATTTAATTATTTCCCTAGGATAAGTTTCTATAGATGTAAATCCTGGGTCAGAGTATGTGCACATCTTAAAACTCTAGATACTTTTCACATGTCATGGTAGTGAGAAATGACAAATATTCCTGGATATTGCTATATTAAGAATTGTATAGATTTCATGGACCAAAAATAAAAATTCTTATTTTAAATTTTGTTTTTAAATATGCTTCCTTTTTTTTTTGGTGCCGGGGATCAAACTCGGGTCCTTGGGCTTGCACAGCAGGTGACAAAACCACTGAGCTAAATCCCCAGCCCCTTAAATTTTGTTTTTAAAAACAAGGGCCAGGGATGTAGCTCAGCAGTGCCATGCCTGCCTGGCAAGCACAAGGTCCTGAGTTTGATTCTTGGTACCAGAAAAAAGAAAAGAAAAAGAATTAATGAGGTTGAATACTTTAAAATATATTTTTTGGTTAGCCTCATATTTTATTTATGATTTATCCATGTTCTCACTTTTCTTTTTGGATGTTTGTGTTTTTTTAATTTATAAGGACTGCTTATATATTAAATATATTAAAACTTAGGCTATTTTCTTCCATTTCTATGTTTTTATTTCGTCTGCTTTTTGGGGGGTGTTTATTTGTTTACTTGTTTGTTTTGAGATAGTATCTCGCTGTAAAGTCCAGACTAGCCTCAGATTTGCAACAGTCATCCTGTCTCGGCCTCCTGAGTGCCTGGATTATAGGCATGCAGCACCATACCCAGCTTCTGTCTGGTTTTTAATTTAAAAAAATGTTTTGATATGTAGGTTATAAATCAAAATCTCTTTAGCTATGGATTCTTCTTTGCTTTTATACCTAGAAAGATTTTTTTCTAAGTGAAGACTGACAAGATAAAAACTCAGCTCTATTAGTACTGAGTTTGGGAATATGAATTTTTACAGTCTTTCTGGAAATTAATCTGCCAATGTGTGTTAAAAAAAAATACTTTAAAGAGGCTGAGGCAGGAGGGGGTCACAAGTTCAACTCCTGCCTGGGCAGGAAAAATTAAAAAAGGGATAGGGATATGTAGCTCAGTGGTAGAGTGGCTCTGGGTTTAATTTTCCTGGAACCATACACACACACTGCACTTGGACCTAAAATCCTAAATGAATAAAAACAACAGACTGTAAAGTTATATTACAGTGATACAGTTTTTATAGTATTAATTATAGTAGCAGGAAACTAGAAACAACCTGAAAATCCGTGAGTGGGAAGGTGATTAAATACATTATCTTATACTTAAAGAGTATGGAATATTGTTTGACCATAGAAAAAAGTGATGGGATCTTTGTGGATTGTCTTTGAAAAATATTTGTGATATTTATAGGAAGAAAGCTTCAAAATGACTCTAATATGATTCCATTTTTAGTATTAGAAATCAGAACCAACCCTAAATCTCTCAATATTCAGAATAGAGTAGAAAAATACATGCTCCCTTCATACCTTTTTTTGGACTGGGGATTAAACCCAGGGCCTCATGGATGCTAGGCAAGCACTCTCTACCACTGAGCTACACCCCACCCCTCATATTTCTCTTCACATTGGTTTTTTCAGTAGGTTGTGATTAAAGGGAAATGAAGGAAAAACCACTATACATGTATTTTTCTGTTTGGGTATTTGCATGTTATTGACTTACATGAATGAACTTTATATACTAAAGAGATTAATACAATCTGTTTAGATTAATAACTTCAATTCTATATTTGAAAAACTTTGAGGTAGTATATTTATTTTAGAGGCAAGGCTTAAGGTCTTTTCTTTTTTTTTTTTTAAAGACAGAATCTTACTATGTAGCCCAGCTGGCCTTGAACTCACTGTGTAGCCCACATTGGCCTTGAACTCTCAGTAATTCTGCCTCAGGCTCCTGAATGCTGGGATTACAGGCATGTGCCACCATGCTGGGCTAGTTTTTAAAAAAATTGTGCAGTAGTATTTGTAAAATTATATGTAAGGTATAAAAAAAATCTGTATACCTGGCTTCCAGTTTAAGAGCCCCTTTAATTCCATCTCTTTCCTTACCCCTTCATAACCAGTCACTATTATGAATACTATGCTTTCAGTTCTTTTCTGTAGTTTTACTGTTTCATTTTGCTCCTCTCTTTCCCCTTTCCTCTCTGCCCTCCCCATCACAAATGTGTGAGACCCAAGCCAAGTGTGGTGGCTCACTCCTGAGGTGCTTAGAGGCTGAGGAAGGAGGATCGAAAGTTCATGCCCAGCCTGGGCAGTTGAGCAATTAGCGAGACCCAGTGAAAAAGGGGCCAGGATTTAGCTCAGTGGGAAGACCCTGTGTTCAGTGCCCAGTATTGCAAAAATAAACAATGAAAAAGAAGTGTGTGAGAGACAGTTATTTCATGTTCTCACCAATACTTGATATTGTCAAGCCTTTTAATTTTTCCAATCTTGTGATTTGGGTTTGTATTTTCCTGATTTTTAATGAGTTTGAACCTGTTTTCAAGTGTTTATTTGTTCTATTTCTTCTTTTTTTAATTTTTTTTTTTTTGGTACCAGGGATTGAAGTCAGGGCCTTGAACTTGTGAGACAGGCGTGGCGCCACTGAGCTAAATCCCCAGCCCTCTGTATTTCTTCTTATTGAAATCTCTGAACTATTTTTGTTGTTCAGTTTTCCATATGAATTCACATGAGTTCTCTTACATTCTGAATTCTAACACTTTGTCGTTTACTACATGGTAGATAAACTTTTCCCAAATTAAAGTTTTCTTTTTCATCTATTTTATGGTAACTTTTTAATGAACAAGAATTCTTTTTTTTTTGGTACCAGGGATTGAACTTGGGACCTTGTGCTTGCGAGGCTGGCGGCGGAACCACTGAGCTAAATCCCCGGCTGATTTTTTTTTTTAATATAGCAATGGCACTGACTTTTTCGTTAACATTCTGTATTTAGACTTTTAGAGTTAATTCATTATTAAATATAGTCTTTAAATAGTGATATTTTTTCTTTATAGTCCCTGTTTTATTTATTAATCCTTTATTTCTTTTTCTTGTCCGTGTTAGCTAGGATGTCTGCATTGTATTGATTAAAGGCTATGATGCAGACACCTTTGCTTTCTCCTTCACTTAAAGGAAATGCATTGAATGTTTGTCAGGCATAATGTTTGCTGTGTGTGTGTGTGTGTGTGTGTGTGTGTGTGTGTGTGTGTGTTATGAGGTTATAAACTAGTTAATTTCCAGTAGGCAAATGTAATAATAAAATAAAAAAGAAATGCACGTTGCTTCATTTGCTAAATTTTTGTTCATTTTCTTATCCACCCAGTCATCTTCTTACCAAAACCCTTCCCTTTGCCCCAAAAGACCTTTCAGTAGAAAAATGTTTGAATGCTGAACAATTACAATTTTCCTTTCTACAGCTATAACTTGAAATAACTAACTATATCCAGCTATAACTTGGCTAACTAAAATAATAACTAATAAGATCCTGAGAAAAAAAATTCTAATTGGTATTAGGTTTTATATTTACAGGTTTTTTTTTTTATTTTTGGTACCGGGGAGCGAACTCAGGACCTTGTGCTTGCAAGGCAGGCAGTGGAACTACTGAGCTAAATCCCTGGCCTTATATTTATAGATTTTTTAAAAAGGAGAAATTGGTTTAGGCAAGTACTCAAAGGAATGCCACTTATCTCTTAAGTTTTTAAAAAAATTTTATACATTCTAAAGTTCTACATCCCTAAGTATGATTGGATTATAAAGAATTATACTCAGTTTATATGTTTTAAAGGCATTGCAGGAAAGAAAACGGAAAATTTTGGATGAAGCTGTGGAATTAAGTCAAGATCACTTTAAAAAATACCTAGTAAAACTGAAGTCAATCAATCCACCTTGTGTGCCTTTTTTTGGTAAGTTACTAAATATGGGTATTATGTTTTGAGGGTGAATGTATTATAGCACAAAGAGGCCGGTCTTTAGAGGCAGGTTGTCCTTATTTTGTACCAGTTTACCTTTTTTTTTTGGTACCAGGGATCAAACTCCGGATCTTGTGTTTGCAAGGCAGGCAGTGGAACCACTGAGCTAAATCCCCGGCCCAAGTTTACCTATTTTTATTACTACTTGTATTATTAATAAAATGTTCTATATCCTTATCTATAAAATGAAGATTGTAATAATTGCTTCAGAGTTGTCCTAAAATATCTGTACTACCTAATACAAAATCTTGCATATAGTAAGCACTCGTAAAGTTACAATTACTGTTCTGTGTCACATCTACAGTTTATTTTCTCTTTAATTTACTAAAGGCTTCTAAGTTTTTTTTGTTTGTTTTGCTTTGTTTTGTTTTTGATACCAGGGATCGAACTCGGGTCCTTGCGCTTGTGCAGCAGGCAGCAAAACCACTGAGCTAAATCCCCAGCTCTAAGTTATTTTTAAACTCATTCAAAATATTGTTATATAATTATATTAGAGTTTTGTAAAGTGAACTATTCTTTTTTTTTTGATACCAGGGATTGAACTTGGGTCCTTGCACTTGTGCAGCAGGCAGCGAAACCACTGAGCTAGATCCCCAGCCCAAGTGAACTATTCTTAAATACAGTCATGCATTGCTTAATAATGATAGATATACATTCTGAGAAATGCAATATTATGTGATTTTGTTGTGCATGGTAAGAGTATACTATAGCTGGGCGTGGTAGCTTTCCCCTGTAATCTCAGCACTCTGGAGACTGAGGCAGGAGGAACACTAGTTCAAGCCTTAGCAACTTACCAACTTAGTGAGACCCTGTCTCATAATTTAAGAAGGGCTGGGATGTAGCTCAGCTTGAAGACCCTGGGTTAAATCCCTGTTACCCGCCCCCCCTAAAAAGGTACACTCATACAAATCTAAGTGGTATAGATCACTCACTCGGTGTAGCTTCTGTGTTGTGTTGTGTTGAGATGGGAGTCAGTGTGTTGCCCAGGCTAGTGTCAAACTCGAGGGCTTGAATGATCTTTTTGGCTCAGCCTTCGAAGTAGCTGGACTATGACATTGCACCTGGCTTTCGGTGTGGCCTCCTGATGCGTTCAACAGACTAAACATACGGTGTTTGAGCCTGCTGCTACTGGCTTAACACAGTGTACATTTTTACAGTAAACTTTTTCTTTGTATGAAGAAAAAGTATGCTCTAAAATAATAAATATAATGAATGTCTTAGTTACTTTCTCATTGCTGAGACAAAATACCAGACCCCCACAAATTAAAGGAGTTTTAGTTTAGTTTGTGAGATTGCAGTTCATAGTTGGCTGGCTCCAAGGCAGGGTTACATAGCAGAGGAGAGAAGAAACAGTTCGTGGCAGGCAGAAGGCAACAAAGCAAGCAGGAAGCGACAAAGCCTGCCCTCTTTCTATCATTTATATTCTATCCTGGCTACCTGTCCTTAGGGCAGGTAGCACTCACCCCAAGAGTGGGGCAGCCTTATCCTCTTGTCGCACCATAACTCAATCCCAGCATCACATATTCTAGATCCAGCCACCTCCGAAAAGCCCCACCTATAACTATATGAGTCTTTGGGGGGCATCTAAACACAAACCAAAACAATGAAGTCAGTACATGAACCAGTAACACAGTCGTTTATTATTGTTTCAGTTGTTGTGCACTGTTCATTATTGTTAGTGCTGTACTTTTATCCGACTGGCAGTGCAGGTTTGATGACTCCAATATCATCGCAAACACCTGAATGTGTTACTCTGACCTTACAACAGCTATGACATCACTAAGAACTATCATTTTTAGTTCAATGATAATTTTTTGGGAACACTGTCATATATGTGATCTGTTGTGTGTGTTATACTCTTTTTTTCAGTACTAGGGATATAGGGATTGAGCCCAGGGAGGGCTAGGCTATATCCTCAGCCCTTTTTTTTTTCCCGACAGAGTCTCACTAAATTCAATTGCCCATGCTGGCCTTGAATTTGTAATTCTGAGTAGCTGAGATTATGGGCCTGCACCACTAGGTAGGTATGCTATAATTTTCTATGATGGGCAGCAGCAGTAAGTTGGTTTACACCACCAGGAGCACACACACTGGAGTAATGTTTTGTGTACAGTGTTGCAAGAGCTGCAACAGTTTTTCAGCTCCATTTTAATATTATGTGGGGTGTTTTGTTTTGATGCTGGGAATTGACTATAGGGCCTTGTGCACAAGGTCTACTACTGAGCTACACTCCTAGGCCTTCCATTTTAATCTATGGTAGCACCAATATATATGTGACCCATTGTTTATCTAAACATCATTATGTGGCACCTGACTGTACTATTGAAGTTGAATTATTTATTTAAAGTTTTTAATACAAGGAAGTTCTGAATCTGAGCAGGACATTTTTGACTATCAAGGACTTACATAGGCAAGAATCTGAGGAGGAAGCAGATTCTTTTCTATTTCACTTAGAGAAAAAGTAAGAAGAGAATACAAATAAAGCAACTGGAACAAAGTTCTGAATGTAGAAAATGTACATGAGCTTGGAAATACCAAATTAAATATGTACTTCCCCCTTTTCTGTCTAGGATTAAGGAGAAAGAAAGTTATTGAGAGTCAGGAGAAATTGAGTAATTCTTGAGATGATTTTACCTGGCAGTGGGTAGACAGCCACTCAGGCTTTTTTTCCTTTTATATTTATATATATATTTATGGAAAAACTATACAATCATAGATGGGCTGAGAAAAAATTAAGTTTTTCACCTTTGTCACTATTGGTATTTAGGCCAAATAATTCTTTGTTGTGTGGGGCTGAACCATGCATTATAGGATGTTTAGTAGCCTTCTGGCCTCCTGTATTCACTAGCTACCAGTACTACCCTCTCGTTCTGATAACCGGAAATGTCCCCAGACATTCCCAGATATCTCCAATGATATAAAACTGCTGTCAGTTCAGAACCACCATTCAAATGAATCAGTAGTAATGCACAAAAAAAGAATTAAAAGCTTTTTTATTGCCCAAGGTGAGAAATAATTATTTTTCTACTTAAATTATGGGTTCTGAGAAAGCAATTAGTTGTATAATCACTAAAATTGCTTAAAGTTAATTTATTATAATAAGTTAAAGATCATTGGCATTAAATATTTGTAATTAAATATTACAATGTTTGGTTAGAATAAATTAAAACTTTTAAATTTAGATTTCGTTCACAAAGTCTAAGGGTTAGAAAAACTCAATTTGCCATTTTTGAGACTAATTTTTTTTTTTTTTGGTACTGGGGATCGAACTTGGGTCCTTGTGCTTGCAAGGCGGTTGGTGGAACGACTGAGCTAAATCCCCGGCCCTAGTTTCTTCTTATTTTAAATTCTTTTAGTGTTAACAAAAATTCTGAATTGAGAATCATAAAGTCTATCTTATCATTTTAGAAGAATTGCTGAGTACTAGAGTATGTCTTTCAACGTGAGTAGATCAATTGTTTTCCCAAATGATTGATTAAAAACCAATTTTAAAATAACTTCTCTTTTTTTTATTAGGAATATATTTAACAAATATTCTGAAGACCGAAGAAGGGAATAATGATTTTTTAAGAAAGAAAGGGAAAGATCTAATCAATTTCAGTAAAAGGAGGAAAGTAGCTGAAATTACTGGAGAAATTCAGCAGTATCAGAATCAGCCTTATTGTTTACGGATAGAACCAGAAATGAGGGTAAATATATTTTTTGCTTATCTTTAAAAGAGAACATATTAAATATCATAATCACACATGGTTTTATTTCATTTTGAAAATACGATAAGTCCTTGACTTATGAACAAGTTCCATTCTAGGAGAATTGTTCATAAGTCATATTTGTTTGTAAGCCAACAGAGTGAGTCTTATATAATACACTTTTGTAAGTTGGCAACTTAAATGTTCATAAGTCAGGGACTTACTGTAATAAGAGTTAATAATCAGTAAGTAGCAGTGTTAAATATTAGATATCTGCAGTCACTATACCACCTCAAAAGTATTGTTTCTTTGTGCACCTGGTTCAAGCAACATTTCCAAAAAGTGAATGTCAAACTAGAATGGAAGAGCTTATGTCCATGCCGTAAAAAGAAAATTACTACTAATACAGTACTACTAATACCATCGATAGCCATTTTAGGTATTTTACATGAACAGTGTAACATAAATAATTCATCTCTTCATAAGGTCAATGTATTTAAATAGAAAGAGTTGGAAAAATGATATATTTGCCTAGCAGATGACTTTATAAACATTATTTCAAGAGACGATCTATTTTGAGCAACAGTCCATAATACTGACTCTGTAATGTTATAAAATGTGGGATACCGTATAAATTAAAATACAAATTATGTTATTTCAAGTGATTCATACCATTATCATATTTGTTTGAAATTGAGAACATGGTATAACTGTCAATCAGAATAAGTTTACTTGTCACATAAAAAATTGTGCTAAATGTAGGGGCTGGGGATCTAGCTCAGTGGTTCTGCCACCTGCCCCTCAAGCACAAGGACCGGAGTTTGATCCCCAGTAACAACAGCAAAAAAAAATTGTGCTAATCTTTTAGACATATAATCTGTTGATTGGGATATTATGTGAAAATAGTCATAGTCACTCCTACCCACCTCAATTACAAAATAGATAGTAGCTATTCTTTTTTCCTAGTTAAAGTATGCTAAGGTCCCAAGACTCAATGACATAAAGCTCATCACTTAGGAAAATGCAGACAGACACCCATTTTTAAGAAAATGGTGATAAGCTACTGCTGATCCCCTCTTTCATTGGCTCACTCTCTGTGATGTAGAGCTTCATGGGGCTAAGGAAATGTGTTCTTAAAGCCCAGATTAACATTCACAATATATTTCCCCAGAGAAATAATGTCATATTATAGTTGAATATAATTGAGTTAATATTTTTAGCATTCATATTTCAGAAACATACCTCCTAACAAGTTTTTGTGCTCTAGACTTTTTACCATCATTTAAAGCATTTGGGGTATGGGTAGGAAATGCTTCTTTATGATTACATCAAAGTAAGTTTAAAATGTAGACAAAGTAGATAGTCAACTTTCAAACTACAGTTAACCAAATGAGTAGTATTTCAAAATAGAGCTAAGGGTGAGAAAAATCAAGAATGCAGATGTTACAGCTTTCTAAAAGTCTTTAAATTATTGTTGGCTCATATAATTTAATTTAGCTAACTTGACTATGAGAATAAATTGTTTCTGTTAGAGAAGTAATGTAATTTTCTTGAAATTGACAATATGCCTGAAAAACAAGATTTTATACTACAAATTTGAAAGCTCATTTTGCTTAACAGTATTTATTTTTGTATTTGCTTCTAAACTACCTAAAAATAAAGTTAAATCTTAATAATTTGCTAAGAATTTTTCTAAAGAAGTTATAAAAATATACAGAAAAAATTATGCACAAGGAATTTATTGTTATAGCAAAGAATTAGAAGGCCTCAGTGTGGATCAGTACCTATATTATGGGGATTAGTGAGATAAATTGTGGAACATGTTTCATGAAATATGAGAGAGTTAAAATTTGTACTTTATAAGAAAGCCACTTAGAAGCAAACTGACTGTAAACTAAAAAGATTTAAAATAAATATGGTGTTATTTCAGTTTTCCAGAAGAAAAGTATATATTTATTTATCTGCATATATCCCCACACAATAAAAAGATTGAAAGATATTCTAATAGTAAAATGTAAATAAATAGTGAGGTCTCTGGTTTCTTTCTTTTTATCTTTATTTGGCCCTGCTAAATCATCTAAATGTTCAGCCAAAATCTTTAAGCTTTGGAAATGTTTTCTGGTGATTTTGGTAAGAATATTTTTGTATTGGATACAGATAAATTTAAATTATTAGTTATTCTTGAAATTACTTTTGACTAGAACTTAATCCAACTTTTCTTTACTTTTTTCTGATTATCAAGATTTTATTGTGGTTTTTAACTATAATTTTGGTCCCAAACACTTGATAGCTTACTGTTGAGAATCATTTTGTTATAATGAATGAGAGTAAAGTGTACTAAGGGACAAGTGAGCCATTATGATGGTAATAAAAATTTGCTCTTGATAGAACTGTAAGACTAGAACATAATTTCTATAAAAATTATATACATTCTTATTCACAAGTAGGGCAATTAAAATATGCAATCCTTTTGAACTTTCCAGACATCGCAGTGTCTTAATTTGTTAATTTTTTGTATAAAAATGAGATAATTTTTATTAAAATTTTAAATAAAATCTTTTTTAAATAAGATCTAAGGTATATACTGATTGGTATTTAATTCCAGAGGTTCTTTGAAAATCTTAACCCCATGGGAAGTTCATCTGAAAAAGAGTTTACAGATTATTTGTTCAACAAGTCACTAGAAATTGAACCCCGAAACTGCAAACAGCCACCTCGATTTGTAAGTCCATTACAATTTTGGAAATGTTTTCTGTTTTTAAAAGTAACATTATTTTCAGCTTTTCCCCTGCACATTGTAATGTAATCAGCTGTTTTTAGGTGTTTTGCTTTGCAGTACTGTGCTATTTCTAAAATTACATATACTGTGGGGGAAGATAATCAGCCTTTTGATAAAATCTGATTTTTTCCTTTATGTTAGTACCACTTGTTTATCTGTCCATTTTTGATCCCTCCTAATACCGGAGGAAGAGGTGTGAGAAAGAGAGCCTAGCAGTTAAGTGGATGGAGCAAAGAAATTGAAAGACCTGGGAAGGAGTAAGCACATGTATCATGGTTCTGGTTTGACCCTGGCCTCTGCCATTAGGGCTCCGTAGTCCATCTTTGCCACCGGAACCCATCTTCCTCACTAGAATGCACTGCTGTAGTTCCTGATGACTCTTTAGGCTTGCATAGCAGCAGAAATAGTGGAAGATTGACTCTAAGTAGCTGGAAGTGGAGCAAGAGATGGGAGGAAGTAAAAATATTTATAAACATGCCAACCTCGGGCAGGGTGGGGCGGTAAAGTAAGCTAAGTAGTTTCATGTTATCTCACTTTCACATCAGTTGTGCCATACAGATCTTATCCTTATTTTAAAATGAAAGAACTAGGGCTCAAAAGGATTAAATTATTTTTCCTCTAAATCTGAGTTGTGTTTTTTCATTAGGTTCCCACAATTTTCACCAAAGATTTTAAACATTGTTGTAGAAATTTATCATTTATCGGGAAAGGGGAAAAGAAGATCCTTTTTTTTAAATGAAGCACATAGTATAGTATGTTGCATAATAAATTATGTTCCCGGGAAATGTTTGTAAAATTATGCTGATAACTTGAAAGAGTTTAGATTTCATTTGTTTTAGGAGCAAAAAGTTGTTTTCCCACAAGTTTTCAAGTATTTTATTTCTACAGTTAAGAGATTTACATGTATTCAAGTACGTCTTAAAATTAAACCAGTTATGTCTAGAAGTTACTACTAGAATGCCATAACCTGCCCATGCAAGTTTGAATTTTATTGCACTCTTTTAAAATGTATGCTTAAAAATTAATAAGGTAACTCTTAAGTCTTAAAGCACATACATTCGAGTTAATATGTTAATTATATTTGCTTTTCCTAGCCTAGGAAATCAACTTTCTCCTTAAAATCTCCTGGGATAAGGCCTAATACAGGCCGACATGGCTCTACCTCAGGCACTTTACGAGGTCATCCAACACCGTTGGAAAGAGAACCATATAAGATAAGCTTTAGTCGGATTGCTGAAAGTGAGCTGGAATCAACAGTTTCAGCACCCACCTCTCCAAATACACCATCTACTCCACCAGTTTCTGCTTCTTCAGACCTTAGTGTGTTTTTAGATGTGGATCTCAATAGTTCCTGTGGTAAGCATTTGATGTATAAACTGGTAAAAAGGGATTTTGTGTTTTAGATAATTCTTATCTTTTTAATTAGAGAATTATAGAATCCTTTGCAAGTTCTGTTAGTGTAAAAAGTGACATCTAAACATGAAAAAAGAGAAGGGATTGTGATGGAAGGGGAACCACTTATACTAAGAAAGGAAAACTATTCAGAGATACAAGTGCTGGGTTCTTTTTTTTTAAATTAATATGACAAAAGATGGTGATAATATCCTGGTCAAGTATTATAGGTTACTTTATGCAAACATTAAAAAAATAAAATGTGGGCCGGGGATTTAGCTCAGTGGTTTCGCTGCCTGCTGCGCAAGCGCAAGGACCCGGGTTCAATTTCCAATACCAAAAATAAATAAATAAATAAAAATGAAATAAAATAAAATTGTAAACAGTCCCTCACTTTATAAATCATTTTTCTCATTCCACTAGGCAGCAATAGCATCTTTGCTCCAGTGCTCTTGCCACAATCAAGTAAGTAGAATATGAGTTGATTCTAATGAAATGACTATAAAAATAGTAATCTACTCAAATTAGTATTTGGATTTAGATTTTTAAAAAGTCATATGAAAAAGATGAAATAGATCTAAAGGAAAATAATTCTTACTCTGTACAGTTGACCTATCCAGGGGTAATTTTTCCCCTGATGTTTTATTGTAAATTTCCTTAAATTGGTCATGCAATGTGTACTTTATCATTAAGAGACTTGCAGAGAGAGTTATATGATACAGCCCTATCTTATGGTCCCCTCTGTAGAGGTTTTATTACTTGCATAATAATGTACCTGATTCTAGTTACTTCAGAAATACATGGTTTCTGGGCTGGATTTAGCTCAGTGGTTCTGCCACCTGCCTTGCAAGCACAAGGTCCCAAGTTCGATCCCTGGTACCAAAAAAAACCAAATATGTGGTTTCTGCTTAGAATGATCTTTCTCTAGAAGTTACTACATAATATACAAAAATGGTTTTGTTTTAGATTTTACAAAGGCTTTTTGGAGGAGCAGAATCTTACTAATCTTAACTAAATACTGTGGTGTGCCTTTATTTAACTATCACATCTACCAGGTAGCAGGCACTGTGATTTATGTCATAGATTAAAAAATAAATACTGTTAAACAACTTACAGAGGATAGGTAAACCAACAGCCAGCTGTGCAACAGATAATACAGTCTGACAAGTCTCATAGCACAAGTTGCAATGTCATTTTGTTTTATAATTGTACTGTGAATTGTGGTTAAATGAGTCATTTCCTCCCCCCAGGGTCTTTCTTCAGTTCATGCAGTAGTTTAAATAAACTAAGTGAAGAGCCACTGGTTCCTCCTCCTCTTCCTCCTCGAAAGAAGTTTGATCATGATGCTTCGAATTCCAAGGTAGTCAGTTGACCTAGGTTTGCCTCAAGTTATTTAAAGTTGCGAATCTTCAGAGTAAAGCTCATTCTCATAAAGAACTTATCAGATATATTTTGGCTACCTTTCATGTTTTTTTTAACATTTGCATTGTTACATTTGAAAAATACTTTCAGTAGTTGTTTAGTCTTCATAAAAACCTTTCCTAAAAAAAGAAGGTGGACAAATTCACATTTTCTTTCTGGTGCAAATGGTTAAGAACTTTTTCTTTTTAGTACAAATGGTAAGAACTTTAGTATTTGGAGGAGTCTTCAAACTTTGAACCAGTCTTCTCAGATTTAAAGGTGCATGGGAATCACCTGGAAAGCTTGCTAAAGGCAGATTGTTGAACCCCACCCCCAGATTTTCTGATTCAGCAGATCTGAAGTGGGGTTCAAGAATTTGCTTTTCTAACAAGTTTCCTACAGGTGCTGATGTTGCTGGTCCCTGGATCACATTTTGAGAACCACTCCCATAAGTGTTACTGGGGAAAGTAGAAGATGGACGCTATGTCCCCTTGACAGCATGTGCTTTCATGCTTATAAACTATGCATTATTTGGACTTACCTATTATAATTAAAATTCATAAATTTCTGAAATGTATGAAACAAAGTAACACAAGACAACCTGAGGTCTTAATGTTCTAAAATTTCAATTGAAACATATATGCAGATATTAAACTGAGCCCTAAACTAAACTGGAAGTAAATTATAAATTTAGTTATCAGTTAATCTATTTTGAGCCAATGGATTTAACTTCACACAAGAACTTTTCACTTTTTGTTTTGTTTTGGTTTTTTTGGTACTGGGGATTGAACTCGGGTCCTTGGCGCCTGCACAGCAGGCAGCCAAACCACTGAGCTAAATCCCTGGTCCAAGAACTTTTCACTTTTAAAAATTGCCTTATAAATTTTTTGGGAAAATAGAAGTATAATTTAATTATTTTTTTAAGGGAACTATGAAATCTGATGATGACCCTCCTGCTATTCCACCAAGACAGCCTCCTCCTCCAAAGGTAAAACCCAGAGTTCCTGTTCCTACTGGTGCATTTGATGGGCCTCTTCATAGTCCACCTCCACCACCACCAAGAGATCCTCTTCCTGACACCCCTCCTCCGGTTCCCCTTCGGCCTCCAGAACATTTTATAAACTGTCCATTTAATCTTCAGCCACCTCCACTGGGACATTTTCACAGAGATGTTAGTACATGTCCAAATTCGCCAAGCACTCCTCCTAGCACACCCTCTCCAAGGGTGCCGCGTCGTGTTCTCAGTTCTAGTCACAACAGTCTGGCTCATCCTCCAGCTCCCCCTGTTCCACCACGGCAAAATTCAAGCCCTCACCTTCCAAAACTGCCACCAAAGACTTACAAACGGGAGCTTTCGCACCCCCCACTGTACAGACTGCCTTTGGTAGAAAATGCAGAAACTCCTCAATGACCTTAGCCATATGTAGTCATTGACACTGGAATAGTATTTGTAAAGTTTTTTAATTTATTCTAAAAAGGCATAGTATTTTAGTACTTTTACAAATAATGCCCTTAAAATGCTACTGATCAAATAAGCTGTTAAGAATTAGATAAATATCGCTTCTCGGCCTTTTGGCTAAGATCAAGTGAAGAATTGGATAAATAAAAATACAAAAGTCCTTCACCATTATCCTCAGGTGATCAGTAGCATTACCTTGTCTTGGATCCTCAGTGCTGCCAAAAGGCCAGTATAACAAATTTATATTTGCACTGTAGACTCTGCTGAAAATATGGTTTAAAGTGACAGTGATTGCACTGAAAGGGGATAATGCTTTTGTGAAATTTTTGAAATTTAAGTAATAGATGCCTTTTTAAGGTAATGAATTTACACAAGTATAGAGGGTGTATGGTGTTACTGATTTTTAAACCTCTTTGACATCTTCTAGTTTTTACATCTAGGAGAATTGTGAATAACACCCACTTTTTAAACTCTCTAATGCCATGTCTTAAATGCCAGTATTTGCTGCTGAAGACAAAATTGAAAAATAGAATGAAAATAATAGAATGCACTGTTTATTTTGTCAAAATGTAAACGAAGCCTACATAATCCAGTTATAAAGGGAAAAGGGCATGTATCTCAGATGTGCCTTTTGTTTTGCAGAGTATGATGTCTTTAGCTAATGAGTTGCCTATTGTTTTGGAAAACAAAGTTAATATGCCATATATGTACAGTTTTGTTTATAATGTATATTTAAATAATGCTAATAACCTATATAAATTTAAGTGACTTGAGGCCTATAATACAATCTGCTACTTTACTAATTCATAAATTCAAAGGAAAATTTATGGCATAGGAACCAACTGCCTTGCCTTCAAAATCACTAGTAACTTTCTCTATAAATCTTGTGTTAACTGAAATTTTTAGAAGTATATTTTTTAGATTGGTAATATTAAAGCCAGCAAATACTTAAAGCTTTATTAAACTTTTTAATCAGAGAAGTAAAGCTTTTGTCATTTGGATGCCTTCCTTCAAAGTGATAAAAGTGTTTTACTGATAGTGTTGTAGCAGCAGTTGTAAAGTAGCCAAAAGCCACGTTGTTTATTTACTGGTCTGTGGCCTTTTTACTGTGCTTTGTATCAGAGTTCTTAACAAGATTAATAAACCACCTCAGTCTTAATTTTTAAAGACTTTTTAAATCTGTGTTTTCATTATAAAGAACAAGGGGAGATTGTTGAGTCCTCCAGGTATGTATGTATGACTGTACACATTTTCACTATTTTATGCAACTAAAATTATAATTCCAAAGAATTTAAATGATGTAAATTTTTGGGCGGTTGCTCTCATCACTATCAAATGCATGCAGCAAGTTTCCAGCAAACATTTGTATGCATTAGGAAAAACAAGGGTATAGTAGCAGACTTCCTTGGTAGGATCTGGGAAGCTGCCTGATTTAAGACCAGTAACAACTGTGTCATCTTCCAAGCAGGCAAAAACACTCTGAAGTTTGCTTTTTTCTTTAAAGAGCAGATTATAATACTATATTGGCTGGAAACGTGGTTTTAATGCCCGTTCATTAAGCCAAACGTATGATTTAGAGGAGAGCAAGGGGAGGCGCCTAGGGCAGCACCCCAACACACATCGGTCCAGCCAGCTTCCGGGCTTTGTTAAGGCGCGCACGCGCTGTGCGGCCCGAGCCACGCTGGGAGGCGGGGGACGCGGGGATGATGTCACAGGCCGCGATGGCGTCTCCTCGAGAGTCCTTGGTGGAGGATCCGGGAGAGGATCCGCTGCGGAGCTTTGTGAGAGTTTTGGAGAAACGAGATGGCACGGTGCTACGACTGCAGCAGTATAGCTCCGGCGGCGTGGGTTGCGTTGTCTGGGATGCTGCCATTGTCCTTTCCAAATACCTGGAAACGCCTGGGTTTTCGGGCGACGGGACCCACGCGCTGAGCCGACGGTCGGTGCTGGAGCTGGGCTCGGGCACTGGGGCCGTGGGGCTCATGGCCGCTACGCTTGGGTAAGAGCTGATGGGGGAGGGCACCGCCTTGCCGGCTTCCCACCCTGTGCCCAGGACTCAGTCGGCGTTATTTTATAGGGCAGATGTTGTAGTCACCGATCTTGAGGAATTGCAAGACTTGCTGAAGATGAATATTAACATGAACAAGCATCTTGTCACTGGTTCTGTTCAAGCCAAGGTACTGAAATGGTTTGTATGGCCCTTCAGCTTGTTTTAAGATAACTATTTGTAGTTTGCTTTAAATTGCATGTCACTAAAAGCGTGGTTGATACGAAAGGGACTTTTTGGTCCTTCTACAAAACAAGAGTATTTTAATTAGAACAACAGTTAAAAGAACTTGTTTGACATTTTTAAGGGGGTCACAAATAGAAGACTTTCCTTCACCAGACTACATACTGATGGCTGACTGCATATACTACGAAGAGGTGAGTGTTAATTAGGGAATGAACTGTATTTCGTGCACCCTACAGCATATATTTCTCACCATTTTGAGGTCTCTGGATTCACGATTTTTTTTTTTTGTTACCGAGGATTGAACTCAGGGATCCTTGCCCTTGTGAGGCAGGAGGCATAACCGCTGAGCTAAATCCCCGGCTCTGAGATTTATAGTATAGTTGGTGAGGTACTAAAGAGAAGACTGAAGTCACTAGGGACCAAATAAATACACTCATGATTAGCGTAAGTCCTTGAAGCATATTGAGAAAGTGCTATATGCACTTTTACTAGAGCCTTGGTGATATTTTTTATAGCGTTTTATCATTTGAATCTGTTATGAAAAGCTTATTTTTTTCCTTAGCTGTTCCCAGTAAATGTGTTAATCATGATATTGCAAAAGTTGCACTTTCAGAAATTTATTGTTCTATGGCAACATTTATTAGATCCATGGGATGATTTTTCTTTACCAGCCATGTACTATGGTGGGCATCAGTTTTAAAATAACTAGCATTAAGCCAACTCAAGTTCAAACTAGGGTCAGATTACTTTTGTAGAATAAATTGTTGATTAAATTATACATTAGATTAAAGTTAAACTTTTAAGAGTGAAGTCAGTTTTGTTTGTCCTCCCCTGGCTACTCAAAAATTCAGTCATTTGAATTTTTTTTTCTGGAAAGTGAAATCAATATGGTGGTTGATTAGTTGCAAAGAGTTCACCAGTCAGTAGTTTCAGAAGTTTTACCCATATGCACTTTGTTAGATCAATTCAAAGACGGGTAAATTATAGGGGAGTTAATCCTCTACACCCTACCCCCAGTCTCTCCTATAATTGAAAATGTTTGAAGTCACAAGCAAAAAACATTTCTTTTTTAATAGTCTTTGGAGCCACTGCTGAAAACTCTAAAAGATCTCAGTGGATCTGAAACTTGTATTATATGTTGCTATGAACAACGTACAATGGGAAAAAATCCAGAAATTGAGAAAAAATATTTTGAGGTAAGTACTCTATTAGATCGTTCTTTGTGGTGGATACCATTTAAGGAACCCCTGTGTGACTATTGTAGTATTTTGTGATGATTTTGGAAGAGGAAAACAGTATTTTGTATAGACCTAAGGAGAGAAAAGTTCCTTTACAACTCACCATTCTACAAAGGCCCCCTTTGTATTTCTCTTTTTTGGCCCTTCATTTCTCTCTTTTCTAATTCAGTGAAACTGTACCCACAAAACAGTGTAAAATAACAATGTTGACAGTCTTTTCTCATGAAGTTTTTAATGCTTATTAATATGAAGTGGGCTTTTGGGAACATATCGATGATAGATACATTGCTTTTGGAGAATACATGTAGAAGTGTGGAGGTGATAAGTTTTTCTCTTTCTCTACATTTTTATGAAACTTCTTACCTATGTACCTAATTTCAGGGTCTTTTTAAAAAATAAAGATTCACAGGAAGTTGCAAAAGTTGCATATAGCACCTTATATATCTTTTACCCTTTTCCACTAGTGTGAGCCAGGCTTTATGTGGGCAAGAATTTATCCCATTACAAATGACTCTTTTTGAGGATACATTTGTATGGCACTACATTTTTGTCTGTTGAAAGGACTGCTTTGGTTTAATGAGAAAGCAGATACGTGACTGTTAGATAACAGGCTATACTGGTTTTTTATTTTCATGTTTTTCTTTTACTTACATATCCTGCTTTATTATAATTAATACATGTTAACTGTACAAACTAGGTTTTACTGTAACATTTTCATATGTGTATATATTATGCTTTGATCATACCCACCTTCTCTTCTACCTTCTGTTTCCTTCCCTTCTCTGCCTACCTTCTGATCCCCTTTAAAAATCCCTGTTCTATTTTCTGGTCATCTTCCATATGAAAATGAAACGTGGGATGTTTGTCTTTCCATCTGGCTTACTTTACTTAACAAGATGTACTTCATTTCTATACATTTTCCTGTATTCTTTTTGGTTTTTTTGAGACAAGGTCTTGCTGTGTAGTTCAGGCTGGCCTTGGTCTCACAATATAGCCCAGGTTGGCCTCAAACTTGCAGCGATCCTCCTGCCTCAGCCTCCTGTGTGCCAGGATTACAGGTGTGTGCCACCATGCCTAGCTTTCCTACATTCTTCATTGCTGAAAAATACTGCGTTTTGTGTGTGTGTGCACTCACATGCACCCTATTTTCTTTATCCATTCACCTGTTGACTGATTTCATATCTTGACTGTTGTGAGTAGCTCCACAATAAAAATGAGTATACAGGTATTTCTTTTGGCTGCTGACTTCATTTTATTTGAATATATACCTAGGAGTGGCATAGTTAGATCATATTCCAGTTTTAGTTTTTTTGAGGTACCTTCTGTAATCTTAACAAGACTACAGTAGTCACAGCTACTTAATTTAGAGGTCCAGATTTGCAAACAAAAAAGCTTATAACACCACAGTAAATGCAATAAAACTGAGTTTAATAAACTGTTAATTGACACACAATTACACAGAAGAAAGAAAGTACAGAAAGTTACATCGCCAGATCAGAAGAGATTCAGCACCTGAAATTCCAGTTCCAACCCTGGGAATCCATTCAGGGAGGGTTGGGGCAGAGCATCCTCTCCATGGATGAGACTCCAGAGCCCCTCCCAGTGAGGCCCCGTAAATAGCAGTAGGGACAAAACCAGCAGTGTCTAACTGTGTGAGTGACCAGAGGCAGGGAGTTGGTGGCCCTCAAGAACTGGCCAAGTGCCTGAGGGAACAAACATCTGGGTCTTCTAGATGGGCAGGAAGAGACTGACCTTCAGGCTGAGTCAGGGTGTTCTGCCGGCACCCCAACAGTTGATCTCTAGAGCAAGGCCATGACACTGCGTTAGGAACAAGAATGGCCTTCTATACTTAATTTTAACCCTTCATCTTCACAGTTTTCCATAGTGCCTGTACTCATTTCCCTTCCCACTAATAAAGTAAGAGTTCCTTTTCTCTGCATCCTTGATGGCATTTGTTACTCTTTAGTTTCCAGAGCCCTTCAGACTGGGTTGATATGGAATCTCTCAATGTCAGATTTGCATTTCTTTGCTGGCCACAGATATTGAGCCTTTTTTCATATATTGGCCATTTGTACTTCTTTGGGGAAGAGTGTTCATATCATGTGCCCATTTTTTATTGGATTGTACTTTCGTTGTTTTTTTTAGTTTTTTATATATTATGGTTATTAATCCACTGGCAGACTTTCTCCTGCCTGATTGCTCTGGCTAAAATTTCAAATACTATATTGAATTAGAATGGACACCCTTCTCTTATTCCTGATTTTAGAGAAAGTGCTTTCAGTTTTTCCTCATTCACTCTGACGTTGGTTGTGGATTTGTTATATATACCTGTTTTTATATGAGGTATGATCCTTCTATACCTATTCATAGCATTTATCATAAAGAGATGTTTAATTTTATCCAAGGCCTTTTTGAATCTATTGAGATGTTCGTGTGATTTTTGCTATTGATCCTGCTTATACACTATTATGTTCATTGATTTGCATATATTGAACCATCCATACATCATTGCATCATTTGCTTCTTGAATATGAAAAATGTCATTGAACTTTTGAAACAATGTGCAGTTGAGATTGGGGAAGGCAGTACTAGGGATTGAACCCAGGACCTTTATGCTGGGCTATATCTCAGCCCTTTTTAAATTTTTTAAAATTTTGAGTTGGGGGTCTCACTAAATTGCTAAGTTATCCAGGCCAGGCTTGGACTCTGGATTCTCCTGCTTCTGCCTTCTAGAGTGCTGGGATTACAGGCCTGTGCCACCACACCTGGCCTGAAATTTTTATATTGTTAAGCAGTGTTTATTGAGGTAAAACATATGTAAAAAAAATACATATATCAAGTGCTTAACTCAATGTTTCATATATATATATATCTAAGTAACAACTACCCAACATAAAGATGTGGAACATTTTCAAGACCTTACAAGTCCTCCATATTGCCCTTCCCAGGTAGTACTCCTTTGGAGGTAACCACCATTGTGATTTGTCACCACAGGTCAGTTCGTATCACTGAGTTTGAAGTGTATTTCTTTTAAACTTACAGCTCCTTCAGCTAGACTTTGACTTTGAAAAAATTCCTTTGGAAAAACATGATGAAGAGTATCGAAGCGAAGATATTCACATTATATACATCAGAAAGAAAAAATCAGTAAGTACATTCCCATTCCTTCATCTTCTGAGATTTCATCCTCTGGTCACTGACTGGGTTTAATGAGTGGGTAGGGCTTTGATTTTGATGTGGTAAAATAGCTATGTTAATTGCACTAATGCTTAGTATTAAGATCATTTAATCTTGCTTGCTTTGGGTTCTTATTCTAAAGTATATAGGCTTTTTTGTTTGTGTAGTGCTGGGGTCTGAACCCAGAGCCTCATGCATGCTAGGCAAGTGCTCTGCCTCTCAGCTAAGCCCCTCACCTGGCAGACTTCTTGTTCAGTGATTCCTTCCAGCTGTAAATGATACCACTTTGTAATCAGGTGTGTTAGCAGTTACTGTAGCACAGTAACCGAGGTAGTCAGCTTAAAAAGAGGGAAGTTTTGTTTTGGCTCACAGTTGTAGCCCATGATTGGTTTGCTCTGTTTTTGAGCCTGTGCTACTGTACTTCTGGCAGGATCATTTGGTGGAGGATGGCGTTCACCTCATGCTGAGAACAAAAAGAGGAAGGGGCAGGGTCCCACTATGCCCTTGAAGGGAACTCGCAGTGACTGGAAGTCCTCACACTAGGCTTCACTAGTAGTGCCTTGTGCTGGAAATTAAGCTTTTCATATGGGCCTTTGGTGGGGGGGGATGCTTACCAGCCCATACCATTGGGCATTACCTGAGACAGGTGACTGAGCTCAAAGTTTCTCTTATCTTCATGAGACTTTAGAATGCCAGTTCTAACCTTATAAGCTTTGCCCAGTCATTCAAAGGAAAAATTTTATAACAAAGTAAAATACCGTATAACCAGACTGATCATTCCATAAGAAAAGTGCACTCAATTAAATAGAATTTATATATGTTCCCCTTTTGTGGTACTGCTTTTATGTGGTACAACAATCTCATTTTATACAAGTTGCATCTGTGACACCTGGTTAGGCCCTGTGGAAGGGAAGAATTAAATCTCATCCATTTTGTATGCCCAGCACCTTTGATAAACATGACTGGTTTAAGGCAGAGACATAAGGATTTTATGAATTAACAATGCCAAAATTTAGTAATCCTCATTTATTTCTGTTTGATTCATTTTGTTCAAGATGAAGTTTCCTAATTATGTGAATTGTAGTCAAAGCAAATACAATTTATTTAAGGAACAAGAGTAGGTAGGTGTTAGGGCTAACTAAATCTGGGAGAAGGTGATAGGAAAATCAACTAACATTTATGTGGCATGCTGCTAGAGGTATAAAGAAAAACTTATATAGTAAGAGATTTAGGTTTAGCTGAAGCTGTTGTGCAGTTTGAAAAGTAGAATGATTTTGAAACAAAGGTTTTATGTTTTTGGGTATAAAGGCCTCTTAAAAAATTGATACAATTCAAATACTATAAATTTACCCCCTTGAAGCATACAAGTCAGTGTTTTTTTAGTAATATTCCCAGAGTTATATAAACCATTACCACTTTCTAATTCTAAATGTTTTCATTTAAAAAGAAACCCCATACCAGTTAGCATCGCTCCCTATCTCCCCTAGTCAACAGCTGCCGGCGACCATTAATCTCTGAATCTGTGGATTTGCTGCTTCTGCACATGTCATATAAATGGAATAGCGTATTATGTGGTTTCTTGTCCTGCTTTCTGTCACAGTTCCATGTTGTAGCATGCTGCGGCCTTTTACTCCTTTTTATGTCTGAATAATACTGCTTTGTGAGGGTGTATATATATCTTACCATCCAGTCACTGCAGTTTTGGGCCATAATGAATAATGCTGCTGAGAACATTCATGTGGAAGTTCTTTGTGTAAGTGTATGTTTTCAGATCTTTTAGGCATATACCTAGAATGGTATTGCTAGGGTATTCTCATTGCTGAGACAAAATACCTGACACTCACAGTAGGAGGAGAGGTATATTTGGCTCACAGTTTGTAGAGGTTTCAACTCATAGTTTGCAGGCTCCAAGGCAGGGTAGCATGGCAGAGGGGCATCGCAGAGGAGAAACAGTTCATGCCAGGCAGAAGATAGCAAAAGCAAGCAGGAAGACACAAGCGACAATAGCAGCTTCTTTCTGTCCCTTTTATATTCTTATCTGGGCTACCCGACTTAGGAGAGGTGCCAAACCAATCAGTGGGCGAATGTAATAATCTCACAGTCTTAATACCAGCATCACACATTCTAGAACCAGCACCTCTGCAAAATCCCTGCCTATGACCACATGAGGCTTTGGAGGGACATGTAGACACAAGCCATAACAGTTATATAGCAGCTCTGGGTTTAATTTTTTGAGGATTATGTTTCAAAGCTACTGCCATATACTGGTGATGGTGAACCTTTTAGAGCTTTCAGTGATAACAAACAGCTGGCTGCAGCATTCATGCCATAGGTATCACCGTCACTGAACTGTACCATTTTACACTTCCCACAAGTAGTATATGAGGGTTCCAGTGACTACACAGCCTGAGCAACATTTGCTACTATCTATCATTTTGTCTATAGCTGTGTTAGCAGGTGTGAAATAGAGTCCTATTGTGGTTTTTATTCTCATTTTCCTAATAACTAATGATGTTGAATATCTTGTATGTCTAGAGAAATAGTTTGCCCATTTTCAAATTGAATTACTTGTCTTTTTACTGTTGAGTTGTAAGAGTTCTTTACACACCTTGGATACTAGACACCAGATGTGTGATTTACAAATGCATTCATTTTGTGGATTGTCTTTTTATTTATTTATTTTGGCGGGGGGGCGGTTACCGGGGATCAAACTTGAGTCCTCGTGCTTGCGCAGCAGGCGGCAAAACCGCTGAGCTAAATCCCCGGCCCTTGTCTTTTTATTTTTTGATGGTATGTCTTTTGTAGCACAAAGGTTTATAATGTTGTTAACATCTATGCATCTATTTTTCCTTAGCTGCTTGTGCTTTGGGTGTCTTCTAAGAGCCATCTGTAAACATTAGACACAGTGTTCACTTGAATTGTGTTTAGCCACTACTGGTCATATTACGAAGAATTAAGTACCCAGTAAGTACTTAGTTGGAGAGAAGAAATGAATTTTTGTGTCCATTGTTTTCTTATAGAAATTGCCATCATGAAAACTTTAGCTGTCTTACCCAAGCCTTTGCCAGCATGGGTAAACTAAAGATGTGAATGCAGCATGTGAATGCAGCATGGGAAGATTGTTCACAGACTTTCCAGCATGTTCTTAGAGATCTGATACATGGGTGACAACCACCATGGGCTGCCTGCAATATGAACAATACTGCCTGCCTGCCAGTGGGCCTGAAATCCAACTTAGGTTTACTTAGCTCACCATCATGTTCTGCTTAAAAGAAACATTGAGAATCCATCACTCAGAATTGGTATCGAGATTAGCCTGAAGTCTGCCAAGAATAGTGAAGCAGCATGCTTGACTGAACTCATTTCCAGGCAACTGGAGATAAATCGATCCAATTTCACAGACACATCTCTGTTACTATATAATAATGTTTGTTTGTTTGTTTGTTTAATATAATAATGTTTTAAATTCAAACCAATATATTTTAGTTTGTCTTCAAGATACATAAATTTAAAAGGCTTCACTTTATATAATTATCAGTAGTTTTATCTTCTGCTTTATATATCTTTAATATCTAAATGTTCTTTTACTTAAAAAAAAAAAAAAACCAGACTATTGTCATGTGTTCTTATATTGGCCAAAGTTTTATTCTTGTCCTCCACCATTCATGTATGAGTGGTTTAAATAGTAAATGATAAATAGTTACTCAGACGAATCAAGAGATTAGGGGAACAAGAGGTACTCTTGCTTTGCCTGATCTTCACTTGGGAATGGAGTGAGAGTAGAAAGCCCAGTTTGAGGCTTATTCACTTCGTGGCTCATGCAGTTCTCCTTGTGTATATATTCCAGGGAAGTCAGGTTTAAAGGCACTAGTATTTTAACTTGTTTACGTGAAACAGTGAAAGATTGTTCAGTGATCACAGATGTAGTTCCATACATATTCACCCAATGATTTTTCTTCCGTGTTGTCTTGTCTACGATATTCATCCATCCAGGCAGACTAATCTTCAAGGATTTTTCATCAAATCAGTTCCAAAGAGTAGGAACCAGGTGGGATCCTGGTATTTACAGGCATTTGGTGCTAGGTGGCCACTATTTATGTGTTAAAATAAACATTGTTTTTGAGACCTTGTGACTTTGTGAATCTTTTAGAAATAGCTTTGAAGAAAATAAACATTCTAGGGCCGGGGATTTAGCTCAGTGGTTCCGCTGCCTGCCCCACAAGCGCAAAGACCAGAGTTCAATCCCCGGTACCGAAAAAAAAGAAAAACATTCTAAAGCACATAAGTGCTTTTCAGAAATAGGAAAGCAGCACTGTTTAGAGACTTCGAGGATAGTCTTTTCCTTTCAGGCTCACTTAAATCTTTACAGTTTGCTCTGCTGTTCTTTCTCAAATAGTTTGTTCATACCGCCTTGGCGTTTCTTTTAGCAGTATTCCCCACACAGTGTAACTGAAATGTGTAAAGCTTTGGTAGTTACAGATAGTACTAGCCGTTACTAGTTTCTGGCTGGTTCCATAACATGACACTTGCTTTAAAAACAATAAGTTCGACATTAGCTATAGCAGTCCCCCCAGATTCCCCACAACCTTTCGTCGTCCTCTCCCTTTCCCTTACCGTCAGTGCTGTGGGTTTCAGCCCCTAGATTTATTGTTGGGAAGCCCCCTTACTCAGACAGGTGTGATTTGCAGTCCATAGCTTCCTGGGGAATCAGGCTGATGTTAGTCCCGGGGCCTTGCCTGCCCTCTTCCCTACCCTGTCCCACTAGTCCCACTCCTTTACCCATCACTTCACTTACCTTCATCTCTCCCTGCTCCTGGGAACTGACCTAAAGTACTGATTGACTGTACCGGGAAGTCCTCTGTAATAAAGCCAAGAGAGCATTTTCTCCCCTTTGTAGAATAACTCCGACACAAGATCAGAGAACACTGCAGGGCCTGCTGAATGAGGCGAGCCACCTCAGGAACGTGCTGTCTCACCACCCACCGTTCGCAGACAGCCCGGAAGCCTGGGAGAACCCTGCTTTGGAGGAGCAGTATTGGGAATGGGATCCAGTCCTTCGGGGTCTCCTGTTGGGTGAAGGAACAGTGTGTCTACACTCAGAAACCACAGGAGGGAGGGCTGGGGATCACAGCGTTCAAGATACTTGTAGGAAGGGAAGACAAGCATATCCCCGTCAGATTGGATTTGTGTTTGCCCAATGGATGAACTCTTACTTCTGAGCATGGAGACAGAACTAAAGAGGTGAAGTGGGCACTGTGAGGTGGAGGAGAATTGATACACGAGTGGAGGCTGAAACACCTGTGCGGCATGGGTTAGGTGATGCAGAGGTGCAGGAGGTGTGATGCCGCACGTGGGATGGGCAGGATACAGCCGGCCACCCACTCTGCACTGTCCATGCTTGGGGAAAGGCTGGGGAGTGAGCGCGTTGGGGTTACACCATGCACGGCAGAACCATGAACTGCTTAGCAGAATGCAACATAGGGAAAGGATTGCAACCCCAGGAAGGCAGTATTTCTCAAGCCTGGACCAGTGACAGCAAGAAAAAGCCATTCTCAATGGCCAAGTACCTGAATACAACGTGGTATTGTTAAGGGGCTCCAGGTAGTGTTGAGGTTTAGCCTAGACTGAAAACTACGCAGTAAGAAAATCTCTTAGCATCTACTGCCATAGGGGAAGAGAATAGAGAGAAGGGAAATTAAAAGTATATTTTAAAAATCATCTTGTGATTTGAGTGGACCAGTGCTGCACAAGAAAGAAAAAAACTTTGATACGGACTGTTGTGTGAAGTAGGTCAAATGAACAGGACTGAGTTTTGGAAACTGAAATAAACTGTTAAGTACTGTTTCTGGTGACCATGAAGGTGACGGTGGTGCTACTCAAGAGGAAAGCAGGATGTAAATTTGGAAAAAGAAAATAGGTGCAGGTTTTGCCTCTGTGCCTTGAAGCCTCTTCTGAATCCTAGCTGTAAAGATCTGTGAGGTTGTTTTACATCTTAATCTGCTGTAGTGCATAGCCAAGGGTCTGTGGATCATGTGTTTGGTGAATTTGGAGGTGAAGTTAGGCTACTTTAATTATCTTGATAAGTGTTAATCTAGAATGTTAGTGGGCTTTTTATTATACTCATGTTTTCAGTATTTTATCCTTGAAATTTTCCTTATTGATGATATTAAATATATTAACTCAGATTTCAGATACTCAAAGAAAAATGTGTCATAGAAGTACAACTGTTGTTCTAAAAGGTTCCTGTAGATGGCATTACTTGACTTTGTCGTTAAACAGTTTATAGCAGAGAAGTTGTGAAATAGAATCTATTTTGAATTGCAATCACATTTGCATTTTTTAAGGTGAACTAAATTTTTTTTTTTTTGGTACCAGAGATCAAACTCGGGTCCTTGCGCTTGCACAGCAGGCAACAAAACCACTGAGCTAAATCCCCGGCCTGAACTAAACTTGATTTTAAAATTTTCCATTTCATTATTGTATACTTTTTTTTTTTTTTGGTACCGGGGATCGAACTCGGGTTCTTGCGCTTGCTCAGCAGGCAGCGAAACCACTGAGCCAAATCCCCAGGCTATTGTATACTTTTTGAATGTCATTATAAAGCCACATAATCTGCAATTTATAAAACATTTTATCTGCTTTTGTCTGTGGGAAGGAGACATTTAAAAGACTAAATTAGTTCAAGTGAAGTTCTGAAAATTAAATTCACCTTGAAAGTACTTTTCCATAATGCATGGCTTTACATCTTAGGTACTTGAAACTTCTAATTAATTTTAATTAGTTTCTCAAACCAGTGTTCCTTAATCATTAGAGCAGTAGTTATTACATCAAAAGATTGAAGCTCTATCTTTGGCTTCGCTCAATCTTGTAATCTTAGGTCAGGTATTTGACTTTTGGGATTTGAAAGAGTTTTGATTTGTTGATAACAAATATAAAAGTTAGAATGTTCAGTTTTCATACCATAGAGACCTGATACATAATGTAGAAAAAAAGTATGGCAACAAAGTCTTACTGAAAAGTAAGGAAAGTTTTTACATTTCTTAGCTTGAATGGGAAAGCAGTAAATTCTCAAACCATTTTCAGTAATTATAAGTTTAAACTGTTAGGTGTTTGGTGTCTTTTAAGACATTGCCTTAAGTTTTATGTCTTGGTGGAGTTCGGTGGATATCTAGTGAGTCCCCATCAATTATGAGATATATTCCAAGCAATGTACTATTAATGGCAAGATATCATAGTTTGCAGGTAATAGACTGAAAATGTGCCAGAGCAGGTTATCTGTATGGTAGTGATTTTCTCATGTGAGTTCTGAAAACAGTGGGGCAGAGGATATACCTGGGGGATAGAATACAGTGGATCCTTGACTTAAGAACTTGATTGGCCCCGAGGGTTAGTTGTAACTCAAGTTGGTTTTAAGTCAGTACAGCTGAGATCTAGATACCTTGGTATGCGCTATAGGTAACAAGAGGCAGATGAATGTTCCATTAACCTAATTAACCCAAGTTGTTCATATGTCAGGCCAGTCGTAACTTGAGGGTCCACTGTGTCTGGATTTGAACCCTTGTGTCTACTAGCTTTGTGACTTGAAATTACATAAGCTCTCTGTGCCTCATTTTCCTCACATGTAAACTGAGGATCATAATAGTATCTACCTCATAGGTTGCTGTAGGAATTAAATTAGTTTAAAACATGTAATGCACTTTAGGTACTTGGCACACAGTAAGTGTTGAATAAATGTGATTAGGGTGGGACTGGAATTACAGGTGGAGAGCTGGAAAGTGCATAATAATGCCGGTTAGTTTCATCTGCTGCCGTGTGAAATCCAGATGTCTTTTTAGGGTAGACAGCGTATGTCACCTTCCATTCCCATCATAGTAAGAAGGGCAGCTGGGATAGGAGGAGGTCAAGAACATTGTTCTGCAGTGCTGCTGCTTGAACAAGTTAGAATTGAACTCAGGACCTTGTGCTTGCCAAGCAGGTGCGGTGCCACTGAGCTATATCCTCGGCCCAAGTTAGCAAATTTAAAAGAGGGAAGTGGGGCCGGGGGTTTGGATCAGTGGTTCCACTGCCTGCCTTGCAAGCACAGGGTCCTGAGTTCGATCCCCAGTACCGAAAAAACAAAACAAAAACAAAAAATAAAAGAGGGAAATGGTAGTAGAAGAAAAGTCATTGGTGTTCATTTTTACAGTTCTAAAGGAAGTGCCGTGAGCATTCAAAGGCCAGTAGGGACAGAGGATTTCCTTGGGTCTGAATATGGGACCCTGGGTTTGCTCATTGGAGCTTCAGACTTACCATTCTGCCCTGCACCATTAGCCAGTCCTTTCTTGGATGGTTCTCATCGCTGCTAGACCGGAGAGCATTTATGTAGCAGGCAAAGAACAGCACAAGGTCATTTTTCTAAGGTCTGGGACTGTAGAAAATATTGCCTAACAATATTTTCAGAGTTCAGAGGTATTCTGTGTTCTCAGTGTATGTGGTGGGATGCAGGGCTGACCTATTCCTAAGGCTGACTGTCTTTACCATCAGTTAGAATGAGAAGACCCTGAGTTGTTTTTGCCTCTCCCATCAGCCGGTATAAAATGGCACACATGCTTTTCTGTATTGTATTAAACATTCAAGTTGGTGGACAAGATTATTGTGAGTATTCAGTTGCTGGTCTTAATTTTTAGAAACCTTTCTTACTTATAGATTTATTCTTAAGAAACGATTCTTTAATTCTTTGCCATTCTTTAATATTCACATGGTTGAAAACATTTTTCCTTACAAAGCAAGATTAAAACTTTTGAAAAAGACCTGGCCTAGACAGAGCTCTTGTAGGCATAAATGCTTGAGTAGTTAGCAAATTTCAGGTTATTAGCTCTAATGAGGGACCACTGTTAAGCTCTGGATGGATTGGTGCTTTTAAATACTCCAGTAATTTTTTTTTTTTTTAGAAAGTTAACTTTAACTCGGATTTGTTAATGTACTGAAATCCAGGCATTAGTGGTATGAGTTCCAGGTCTACATGTTGGCTCATCATTGCTTTGATAAATCATTGCCAGGGTTGAATGTACAGTACAAACAACCCTGTGTACCTACATTCGATACTCAACCTTGTTCTTTTAAAGGATGTGCTCTGCAAACCTGCT